TGGGACTTGGCAGGGTTGAGTTTATGGCTGGACTCAAAGATCACAAGGGTCTTTCCCAACCTAAAAGGTGCTATGATTCTATGATTCGCTTTTAGACACGAGGCAGAGGCATGAGTTGCACAGTGCATTTCTCTGAGGCAGAATGACTTTCTGGAGTTACACTTCAGTGTTGGCATGGAAGCAGAGTATCAGCTGTGTGCAGCCATCTCCATTTCTCCTGCTTATGCAGGAACATGAATAAAGTCCTTTTAAAGTCCGTGGAATCTCCATCGCCTGTTTCTATCACCAAAAGGCTCATCCGTAAGACCTTCTCCCACTTAGGAAACAGGGAAGGATGTTGTGAGGCATAATTCACCATTTAATGGGCTGAGAACCAAAATCTGCCCTGTGTGTGTACAAGGAAACAGGAAGGAAAGGTTACAAAAGCATTGACTAATCCATTGTGAGTGTGTGGGTGCACGTGTGTGTTATTAGCTTTGTCTGGCAGCACTTGAAACACTTTTGTCAGCACCTAAAGGAACCAATTCTGAATTTAATGCATCCAAACAGAATGAATTGCAGCCTGGAGAAAATGGGGATCTGTGTCTGACTTCTTGTCAGCACTTACATGACTTCAGTGAGCTAGATGTTTGTTTATAAGTAATTACAGTTACTTTACCAGAAACTTTTTATGTCCAGTATGCATTTAAAATGCAGACTTTAAACTCAGTTGTAAGAAAGGCATAGATTTTTTAACATTCTCAATGCCCTCCTCCTGGCATGTCAGCTGGGATTTTACACCAGAAGCAAAACCTTCTAAAGGTAGGCAAAACCTTCTAGAGGCAGGGCAAATCAAACAGGATGCTGAATATTCCTGAAGAAAGAGCTAACAGAGGGAAAGGGAAATGAAACAGCTTGAACTGTCCTGCCCTCAGCAGCAATATTCAGCTGTCCCAGTTCAAAAGAGCAGAGTGACAAATGCATTCAGGTGAATGGCTGGCCTGCCTTGAGTGCAAATAAACCAGCAGCCTGAGCAAACTCTGCGTGCCTGAGCAGTGCATGCAAAATTCACCAATCGCTCCCACAGTGCAAACTGCCACTCTTCCCTCCAAGGGCCTGTGGCAAGGGTCTTTCACCCCCACCCCAAGTGCTGTACCCACCAGAAAGGACAGAGAGAAAAGCACAAGTGGCAAGCAAGAAGGGTCTTGCAAAACGGAGATGGAGATGCGGGAAAGGAGGGAGAGCAGTGGGGAACACGGGCTGTCTATGACTTTTCAGAACTGTTCCTACTGTCTTTCTTCTCAAACTGTATCATTTCCCTATGGGATATTTGGGTTGTTCTTGTGAGCTCAGCACTGCACCACGTCTGATCTTTACGCTATCTGGAGTGCTTGCACTGACTCAGGATGAGGTAAAGGGAGGACATCACTGTTTCATTCTCTGTGGGCTGTGCTGTACTTCCCTCTCAGTTTGGGCCAGGCTGGGCTTGATTTTCCAAGATCCCAAAGTGAATACATCCTGCCCAATTGCAGCCCTTCCTTTCCCAGAAATCATCCTATGGAATAAGCCCTGAACAAACCGTTTCCTGTATCCCCTTTAACCCTTTTCCTTCCACCCAAATGCTCTGTGACCCAAGGCCTGCTCCAGAAGGCACAAATTCAGTGCAATTCCCTCGTCCTGCCCACTCAGAGACTGTCAAAAGCCAAAAATGACAGCACTGGAGTGCCAGAAGCAAGCAAGTCACCTGCAATTTCACACCTGCCATCGCTGCTTTTGTGGCAGCTGGCGAGGCGAGAAGTTGATGAAGGTCCCACTTGGCCCAGGCTGAAAGTCAAAGCAACTGTTGTGCTTTTCAGGGAATGTCCTTTCCTGAAGTAGGAAGGCAGGTAGAAAACCTGCTGGCAGCTGCCCGGGGGCATCTGCTGCCTGGCTGAGGAGGCATTTGTGCTTTTTGCACACTGTCCTGTTCTTGGCAGCAGCTTTCCTGAGCTGGAAAAAGCATTAGCCATCATCAGCTGTGGAAACACTTTCTGGGCTGTGGATTTCTTTCTGAGGAGTCACAGCTGAACTGTGTCGGCCAAGTCTGCCTCCCTTCTAGGTGAGATTTAATAGAGCCAGGTGAGCAGCAAAAACCATCCCGCAGGTTTTGACTCCACTAGTCAAACCTAACCTGCAGTTTGGATTGTTTCTCCCTACAGGTATGCAGAAGAGAGGCCATAAACCAGGCCAGGGAACTCCATAGTACAACTTTGCAAGTGTGGGGACAGGCTGGGCTCTGGTACCTGCTCTTCTGCCCTCCACTAATCTCCTGCTGCCCACTACCAACAGGAGCCTGGCCTGCTTACCCATGGGCAAGCCCAGGTTGTATTTCTCATTTGATGTGAGAAGTGATCTTGTGGACTCTTCTGTCCTGACCAAGAGCTCACAAAAAGAATTTACTCTTCTAAGTCTATGCACTGAAGACCCCTCACCAAACACCCACCACCAGCCCCACATGAGCAGCATGCTTAAGCCAAGAGGAGGGAGCCAGCCCCCTGCAAGAACCAGAGGAATCCATACAGGAGCAAGACTCAGGACAGAAACCAGACTCATAGAGGCTTGAGTGTGTTGCATTGCACACAGTCTGGCCTCCTGGCCCTAATATCCTCTGGCAGCTCCCAGAGCAGGAGACGAGCAGGTTAGTGACTCGATCACGACACCAACTCCTGTGGGACCTGCTGCTCCAGGATCCCCACTGCCAGGCCCCGGCACAGCACGCAAGGAGCTGCAAGGATGGGCAGCCCCTGGGGCTTGGAGCAGTGACTTCTCTTCGCGACAGAAGTGCTGGCCAAATGCTGGGTCCAGTCCAGTCCTTGAAAATTGGAGTTTTGGAAGGCAACTTCAGCCAGGCCCTGGTAAGTGACTGCTTGTTTGATGGCTAATTGCTTACGAAAACAGAAGGCACAAACTCGATCTGTGCAGGTCTTACATCACCAAAGCCCGCAGAAACATCCACCTCAAATCAAAAACTACCTGTCTGAGAGACCTTCAGTAAAATTTTGTTTCCAACTCCCCTTCTGTCAGACTGCAGAAATGAAAAGCTAAAGCCACCCGGTGTAGCTCAGTTCACCAGGAATGTGTTAAGTTACGCCACAAAAACCATCCCTTTGCTGCCAAGCAGCAAACACACAGAGCTGTGAAAGGACATGCGTGCCTCCCAGTTAATGTCACCTTCACAGCTTCCATAGGTCACAGCACAAGCACATCCGCTCCAAAATAAGATGCCAGGCAAAGCACGGATCCCCTTCTGAACAATGCAGTGGGCCCACAGAGAGATGAGGAATTTAAGGGAAGTGGAACAACAGGAAATAAGGAAAGTCCCTCCAGCAAAGACCCTGTGGCCCATCGGTGGTCGCTCAGCACTGCATCACACAGAGCAGTGACACAATGGAGTGACTAAAGGACTGCCTGGCAGCCAGCATTCCCGTGGCCATTGTTGCCAGCACGGGAACTACACAGAGAGCAAACAAGAGCTGAGTTCCCAGGCACTGCGGCAGAGACACATCCACTCCAATAAAATTACTTCCTGAAGCTCCTCAAGGCCTGGACATACCGTGCCATCCTAACTGGTAATTCATATCCTGAAGCAGGAAAAACTGTGCCAGGAGGGTATAAAGAGTCAAGCATTCTGGACAGGCACAGGCTGAGGATAGTTGTAACCTGAAAGTCACTGCAAGGAAGGAGACCCCCTTGAGAGAGTCTTTGTCTGGCCTAGGGGATATATGGGAGAACTAGAGGACTAATCCCACCCAGTTGTGGTCTCACTCTTGTTGCCTCTAGAAGTCATAAGGGATGTAGGCTTGGAGAAAGAGAGGGGATAATTTTATGGTCTCTTTTCTGGCAATGAAGGCCCTGTAAATCCCAGTGAAAACCGCTAGAAGCACCAGCTCTGGTCAGGAAAGGAGAAGCTGGACTGTTTTGGGCATCAGTGTGGGAGCCATGCTGGCCTAAACAGCAGCTCTCTGCAGAGGATGCTACATGCAGTCAATGTATGTAGAGGACAACAACAAGGACAGGCTGGGGGATCCATGTGGTGGTTTAGCTCTCAAAACAGCTCCTGCAGGGATTCAGAGCAGGGCGTTCGGGGCTAATCTCTGCGTCCCCTCAGGGAACCTCAGGATTACTGCCCTACATCTGCTCACAGGGTTGGGCCCCACCTTGTCAAGGCAGGGGAGGTGCTGACAGTCACTCTCAGTTCTGTAATCTGTTTGGGATAAGCAGCGATGGGCCCTGTCCACTGTGATGCAGCACCTCTCAACAAGTCCCTTGAATCCCTTGCTCACAGCCCCGACTGGCTTCTCTTGAGCCTTGCCTAAGGCAGGAATGCACCTCATGGCTTGTCATCAAGGGCTGACTCCTGGCAGCAGCTACAGAGAGCCACAGTGCAGCTTCCTTGGCTACCTCACACAGGAGGGTCTGGCCATCACTGATACCTACTCAGCATTAGCCCATGGCAGAGTCTTTGGCTACAGCCCCAGCCAGGGTGGGAGTGCAGGTCAGCACTAATCCCCAGAGCTGTGCTTTCCCCTGTCAGCCCATGACCCCCACACTCAGCCAACTTCCCAGCAGAAAGGGCTGCAAAAACCTGCGTGGGCTGAGGGATTGTACTGTTACCTCTATGAGATCACCTACTTGTTTCTCCTGCTCTCCTCTGCCTCCTGAACATGCCTCTCAGAGCTCACTGCTGGTCCAGACAACAGCTTCATGGCACACACTGCTGGCCTTTCTTCCTTTCAGGGCTGAGGATGCTGGTTTGGGATCCAAGCTCTGGCTGTGCTAGTTCCAGGCATTCAGCTCCATCTGCTGGCTGCTCTGTCCTTGACCACTATGGAAACACGGAAAGCTCCATAAGGAACAGCCCCACCTTTATCCAGTCTTCTCCCAACCCTCACATTCTGCTGTTGAAGCCACAGTCACGCCGCTCACCCAAATCACTTATATGATGCACATTTCCAAAAAGGGAACATTACATTGAAAATATTTTATTAAATAATGTTACAAACAGGACAATACATACCAGAATTAAATCAGAGATTTTTAATTTATAATCATAACTTAAACATAATTTAAGAAAGACTTTCTAGACATACAAATCTCAGGCTTCCATTTTATTTGTAAATAGTACACAGGCAGGAAATCCATACAAACACCTACAAATTATTTTGAAATTACTTGGGCCAAGATCAATGGCCACAGACTGACTTACTCAAGAACAAGTATTTTACATTACAGTTAACAGCACAGAAATATCCTCAGTAAAAGTTAAGAATTAAATACATATGTATATACATGTATTACAGTGCATAATCCCACAGGGATGAGATAATTTCAGATCTACCAGCTGCCTTTAGAAACCAGAGTACCTTGTATTATAAGCACTATGGTTCCTAGTGCTATTACAAAAAGAACCAGAAATAAAAAACAGAGGGTTTAAAGTCCCCCAGTTTTTTGGGATACGCAGCAGGAACCCAAATAATTGCCCATATCAGTACAGGCACATTTATTGACTCGGACATCTCCTTAAACTGACTTCCACAAACCAGGATCAGTAGTTTCAAAGCCATTCAATTTTTCATCCTGATTATTCTGTTTCTGCCAGCATAACCCATATGACTCCAGAGAAGACACCTCCAGCAGTGTAGTAAGTGATGTGAAATAATGCATGTCTTCACTTCACCTCGGTACCTTTGAGTAGAGCAGAGGAGGAACCAGCCTCCTCTTTAGGCAGCAGTGCACTCTTTGCTCACCATCTGGACAGGAGATGGCAAACTCCCAGTTATCATAACTAACATGACTGAATGTAGACAGTATTTTGCCAGAAGGCCAGAGTTTTACTCTCTGCTTGTCTTCAGTGGAAATACCCGACAGCTTGAGCTCAGAATTTCTGAGCAAACACACAAGGTCTTTTGTATTGCAAGAGGTAAAAACATCTGGACAGCTGCTGATTTGCATGCAGCTTCATTTTCCAGAAATCTGAGACAAAGGTGGCTTCAATTCCTGCGGAGAGAATAAAATTCCTCCATAAATCAGAAAACTGGCATAGATTTGTATTTGCTCTCATTTCAGAGGAATTTTGTATGCAGCAGGTAGCAAAAAAACTGCACAAAAATGTTCCTAATACTATATGCAGCTGGACAGAACCCCAAGCACAATCATCCTTAAGGAGCTGAATAACTATTTCTAATGCAATAAATCTATCAGTCAGTCTTGTTAGGAACGTGCATGCAATGCCAAGATGCATGTTAGGTACCCCAAAGCACATACTGCTGTTTCAGCAATGGTATAGCAATTAGCAGCTCTGATTGCTAGTGTGATAAACAGGAAGAGAATTTGGGAGTGCAGCCTCTTCATGCACTTACCTGAAACTCCTGAGTTAGACATTCTGGCCAGCACTTTGGAAAATACCCTCAGTGGCTGTTTCATGCTGGTTACTGTGAAATAGAGAATGAAAAGTACTTTAATGACAACAGATTTATATCAAGTGGATTTTAGCAAAGTGATGGCACTGTTTTTCATGCAGCTTTTTGAGACACAACTTACCTGAAAGGAATAAATTTCTTTGCTGCAAGAAGAACAAGAAAAGGTATTAGATTTCAAGACAAAAGCCCCTCATGCAAACATTTTCTTCTACTAAAGAATTCTGAGTATCTCAAAAAATGTCATTATCTATCAATAAATCTCACAGGCAGTTATTAATGTGTCATTAGCCCCATCTCAAATTCTCATTCACTTTCCCTGGAAGCAGTTACCAATAAATAAAGTGCTGCTTTTTTTTCATCTAATTCTTCTTTTCTAAACATTTGGTTTTGACTATTTTTTCCACTTTTTTAGATGTTCATCCAAAAGCCAGACATGGCACATTTGGGTCCTTGAAAATAAATTTGGAACTTGTCGAAGCACGGGAATTAACACTTTTCCAAAAAGCAAGGTATGGGGCTTTGGAGGTTTGGGTTTTTTTTTTTTTTTTTTATTTCTTTTTCTCCACTGAAAACTTCACAGGAAGGTAAATAGAACCAGTGGCCCCAGATCAAGTGCCCACCTTTTCTCCGGAAGCGTTTTGCCAGCCAAAGGAGGAAGGACGCGGTGGACAGCAGGGAGGCAGAGGTGGCTGCTATGCCCACAGAGACGTAGCTGACCAGTTCAGGAGCTGAAGGGATGGAAAGGTTTCAGTGAGATCAAGAGGCCAGCGTGGTATTTGAAGCCCTCTCTACTTCTTCCCTTTCCCTGTGCTCTCCGAGAGGAACCAGAAACAGACATATCCTCTGCATGAAGCAAAAAGCTGCACACTGAAAATTAACCCACCCATTGACAAAGCAACGGCAAGGCGACAAGCTGCCTTCACCAGGGTCTGTCTAACCTCCAGCTTCAGGTGGCAATTTGTGTTCATGTTTTATTTTTCATGTTTCAGTTCATATTTTAACTCTCTGTGTGCTGTCTTCTTCTTTGACCAATAGTGTTGAGATAATGAAATTATTCAAGGACCTAAATTCTGCTCAATATAAGTGGAGTTGAGGTTTTAGGACCTCAAGCAAAAGCATTTCAGGCAGGCTCAAGGTGTTCTCACTGAGGACAGTACAGAGCTCTCACTTCCTTGAATGAGAAGGCAAGGCTGAGCCTCCTGTCCTTTGAAACTGCAGCCTGACAGAAAAGCTCTGTGAGGAGTTCATCCAAGAAACTATCACACCAAATTAAAAAACCTATAAACTTTTCCACGGAGAAACAGATGAATGCAGAGTTTCCCACAAGGTTCTGTTTCTCTAGAAAAGCTTCTGCCTTTATTCATATGAAAAAAGCTCAACGCGAGAAATATTTTAATGAAGAAACAAACAAAATAACCTGAAATCAGGTTGCAGCTTTTGTTTTCTGAATAAGAAATCAACATTTTTCACCAAGATCTTTTAGTATTTTTCTCCTCCTCTATTTTTTTCTATTCATAAACTTCACCAGATGTTCTAGCTCACTGGTTGGTATTACCACCACCAGCCCTCCCCACCTCATCTGACTAGAAACCTCTCCGTGGTTAGTCAGGTAAAATACCTTCACATGTGGGCAGGCTGGCACTCCAGGTTCCTGAGTGACCACACTCCAGAACATGAGAGCCATTGAGACTCCATCCTTCAAGACAGCTGAAGTGGCAGGAGGTGTTGTAGGTGAACAGCCCAGCGCCGTGTGAGCAATCCATAAAGCCTTTCTCAGGAGCGCTCAGTGGTTCACACTGTACAACTGAAACACAGAAACAAATGGTTAAGAGTCATTAAGGAATTTCCTGTCTTTGGCACTGTTGTTCGCACTAGCAGATGTACAGTTTATTTTTAAATTCATTTGAGTTTGGGATGGGAGCAGCTCACAGAGCCAGGAGCAGGTATTTCCAAGGCAGGGCAACTCACATGGGAGCATAATTTGGTCTGGAGCGAGGACCACAAAGGAATATGGATTTCAATGTGTTCCCCAAATGACCAGAAAAATGCCATTTGCCAACCCAGTAAGTCTTACCTTTGCATTTTGGCGCTGGCTCTGACCACTGTCCCTGTGCTGTGCACTCAGTGCTGGATGGCCCTTCCAGAATGTAGCCCTCATGGCAGTGGAACTCACAGCGTGAGCCATAGGTGAGATCTGCACGATCACAGGTCACAGAGCCTTCTTCTGGCCACCTTACAGCCTCACACCTCACAGCTGCAACACAAGGATATCAACAGAAATCAGCACAGAGGCCTCAGGAAGACCACCTGCCAGTGCTGAGAGCCCTGAGTGCTCAGGAGAGCAGGGGTGAGGAAAGGTACCTGCACAGGATGGCTGCTGCCTGTCCCAGGCCCCAGAAGACCCACACTGCAGGGTGGCTGGTCCTGTCAGGGTGAAGCCTTCCTCACAGCTGAACTCGCAGACAGTGCCCCAGGTGAGCTCCTCAGAGGGAAGGGAGCAGTTCACAGCACCATGGGCAGGCATTTCCAAGGCAGGACAGGTCACAGCTGAAAGGCACAACAGACAGCACAGAGCTTAATTTGGAGTAGGTAAAGATAAACACTCTCCTGAGAGCTGGCAAGAGCACATGCCCTGCTTGGAGCTGTCCCCTACAGAGCCACAGTACCTCCCCTTCACACCTGGTGGTGTCTCAGTGATTTCAGCATGTTACACAGTGCAGCCAGAGCCCCCAGACATGCACCTAAAGCACACAAGCTATCCTGGGAATGGCTCCAGATTATACTCTACAGTGGATTGCATAAACAGACACTGGCTCCCACTTGGGGTTTAGGGAAGAAAGAGCTCCTGCCAGAACACTCCACTCCAAAAGACTGTTATCCTGTGTACTGGGGACACCGCTCCCAAGTGCTGTTTGTCTCCCTGCACTGCTGTTTCCTCATTAATTCAAGAGGGGAAGTCACCCTGCCTTTAGACCTGCTTATGAAAAGTGCTCTAGACATGCTGGGATGAATGTTACTCCTTGCCTACACTTGAATGAGGAGGTCTCTTCAGATTCCTTGATCTACTCTAAGCCTTAACTGATGGTTTCCAATCCAGTAAGTCTTACCTTTGCATTTTGGCGCTGGCTCTGACCACTGTCCCTGTGCCGTGCACTCAGTGCTGGACGGCCCTTCCAGAACGTAGCCCTCATGGCAGTGGAACTCACAGCGTGAGCCATAGGTGAGATCTGCACGATCACAGGTCACAGAGCCTTCTTCTGGCCACGGTACAGCCTCACACCTCACAGCTGCAACACAAGGATATCAACAGAAATCAGCACAGAGGCCTCAGGAAAACCACCTGCCAGTGCTGAGAGCCCTGAGTGCTCAGGGGAGCAGGGGTGAGGAAAGGTACCTGCACAGGATGGCTGCTGCCTGTCCCAGGCCCCAGAAGACCCACACTGCAGGGTGGCTGGTCCTGTCAGGGTGAAGCCTTCCTCACAGCTGAACTCGCAGACAGTGCCCCAGGTGAGCTCCTCAGAGGGAAGGGAGCAGTTCACAGCACCGTGGGCAGGCATTTCCAAGGCAGGACAGGTCACAGCTGAAGAGCACAAGAGACAGCACAGAGCTTAGCTTGAAACAAATCATAATTTTTTTTTCTTTTCTGAAACTTAGCAACATACCCACTAAACATGAGCAACTTTAGAAAAGGGATCAACTATGCTGCCATTTCAGAGAACAGATAGGAGGGGCAAGGTCTCAAAATGGAAAACTGATTTTTAAGGCAAGACTGTAAATTCATTTGCAGCTCATAACAGTAATCTATTTACAATCCAAAATCCATTTTAATTCCTGTTTTGATTCTTGTTTGATGCTTTTATTTGCTTCAAACTGTAGCTTATTCTAAGCTAAGCACCTCAAAAAACAATTCCTACAGTCAGGAGCAACTAGCCTGTTATGAGCAGTCTCACAGGTAGGTCATCTCCATTCCCTGTTCCCACCTAAGAGTAGAAAAGTCTTTTCCTACAAGCAAACCTAAGCCAGGGCCAAAACATTCATCTTGCCCATTTCATCTCTTCAGGAACAGACCCGTGTACTGAACAAAAGAGCACCCACACCATGTAATTAGTTACAAAGGAATTGGCCAGTCTTCAATTTGTACCTACTGACAGAGCAAGGAGTTTACAGAGCTGTGTAAAATGCAGAGAGCTCACCTTTGCATGCTGCAAGGGGGGCAGACCAGACCCCAGAGGAGGTGCAGTGTACAGATTGCAGTGCAGTCAGTTCGTAGCCTTCCTCACACTGAACTGTGCAGGACGAGTTGTAGCTGAAGTTGCCCAAAGGATGGTTGCACTCGAGGCTCCCGTGATCAGGTTCCTTTAGTGGGTCACAACTCTCAACTTCAAAGAAGCACAGGAAGGTGCACAGTCAGGGTCACGAGCAGCTAAATCAACAAGCCAAAATGAACACCAGCCAGCATGAGCTGGTCAAGCAGCAGGATGAAATAATCTTACCAAACTCGCATTCGGGGCCATAGAACCCAGGGTTACAATGGCAGGTGTGGCTGTTAATGGTCTCTATACATTCTCCACGGCCACTGCAGAGAGATGGGTTGCAAGAAGCTGAAAAAAATATACAGCAAATTATAAAAGAATCAACAATGGCCACTAAGGAAACATGGCTGGCAATTTGTTTATCTTTCTGACACTAAACAAGCCCTCTGTATAGCAAAAGAAAATCAGAGGGTTTGGTACTTAAGATTATCCTGTCTTTTCACAGAAGGGATTCTGAAATCCACACTTTAGACAGATTAGTTCACAGTGAAAGGACTCTACTGGCTGGAAACTCCCCAGACCACTTGTTCTCAGGTAGATATTAGCAATATTAAAAATGCAAAAGGAAAAATGAATCTAAGTATTAGAAAAAGGACAATCTCCACCCTGTGAGCAAGCATAAGTGTACAGGTGCTTACAGGGTCGGGTGGCTAACATGTCAGATTAAACAACTCATCCCACCCACCATCTCATCTCCACAGGGACACACTAGAACGACCTTTATCACAACATACCTGTGTAGCACAAGGCGACCTTCTTTTTCTCACACTGTTCATCATTCCATTTGCCATCATCCTTCCCTCTTTTGATGTAGATTTCCACGCAGTCCTCGTTGTTCCCTTTGCCATTTGGCTCACCTGAAGCCCAGTTTCTTGCTTCTTCTGTCAGTTCTTTGTTAGTTCCAACCCAGGTCCACACATCATTAATTTTTCTGATTCCAATCCAGTAGTAACCCGGGTTATAGGGCAAGAATTTATTGAGATGGTTGATTTCCTCCTTATTCTGAATAGCAACCATGTTAGTATACCTCTTTTTGCACCACTCCTCTGCTTCCCTGTAGGTCATGTTTCTGTCTGAATAATGGTATGTCCAACCATTCACCCCCTGCAGCACTGTAAGTCCTAGAATGAAAAGAGGTCCAAAAGTTGGTGTCTGACTTTTACCGCAGTTACTTTATAAATAATCAACTGGCAAGTTTCAAACCCAGCAAGTCAGCTCCAAGTATAGGGACTTCAGCCTGTGAAACTATGCCTGGCCACACAAAGCTTTGGGACTTCACAGCAGGCTGGAGGAGCCAAGTATGGATTTGCCAGGCAAGCAGGGAAACGTGCCATTGCAGCTAGAGGTGCTTCTGTGGGAACCCAGGCTCAGGTTAGTTAGGGCAGGTTCAAAAATTCTGTTTAACGCTGAGCTCAAACAGAACAGTCACATTATTATTACCATCCAAATAGTTTTCTACACAGGGAAATGCACACTCACCATAAGTAAGAAGAGATAGGAACCACAAGCAAACCATGTTTGAGCGTTTTCTCTTCTCTATCTTTTAAAGCAGGTGGCTCTGAGAGATCAAAGAAACACATTTGTAAAGAACAAACACTGACCTGTTACAATTCAGTATAAAATCTGCCTAAGCAGTTTTTTCTACATGCTTTGAAACAATTATTCTAAAAAACTTAAATAAAATTTCCAATTTTTAGGAAATTATTCATTTTAAAACAGTTCTTAGCATCAAGATATCTTTAAAAAGTGAACAGCTTTAAAGAACACAGAATTGCAGCTGTCCAGCTGTCTTTTAGCTGAGCAGGCAAACAGAACAGCACAGTGCATTTCTACTCACAGGCTGTAGCTGCAGTGTCCCCGGGGCAGAAGTTCCTCTGTAATATTTCTCAGTGGCTTCTTTCTGTGGCTCAGCTGATGAACTCAGACTCGAAGATCAAGTTCAGCTCCAAGTGCCTGGACTCTGTAATCCCATGCCTTTTATTCTCTCCAGTAGCCGCTCCTCCACGAGACAGGAAAGACGTTTGGGGAAAAAAAAAACTTGGAAAATCCCAGGATCTGGCCCTCCCTCCCACTAGAACGGATGTCTTTTCTCCTGACAAATCAACCCTCCAGGAAAGACACCCCGCGCTGACAAACTGCCAAGCGCCACGCGTTACATGCTCTTACTGACAGAAACACACAATTCCAGGATATCAAGGAGGAGGAAGACAATTCGAGTTGGCTGCATGAATGAGCAGATTCCAGTCTTTCCCCTGGCACAATGTTTTGCACCAAGGAGGTGCCAGTTCTTCCGGTATCTCAGTAGGAAAGGCACCGACGCTCAAAGCCGGTTAACTGAGTTTGAGTAAAAGGTGAGCTGCAGCACTGGGCAAGCCCTTCCTTGTGGACAGCTCGCTGTGCAGAGCTCCCATCTGTGGGGAGGTTTGCCAGCCCCAGGACTGTTAATCCTCTTCTACAGTCCTGCTCACAGTACAGGTTCATCAGTCACTTGTAGCAGCCAAGCTTGGAATGTGGATTTCACTTGGGCTGTGTGCTCCAGATCTCAGTAGAGTTCCAATTCCTGAACAGGTGCACGTAATATTTCAGGTGGACAAGGCAAGACACTGAATTCATGCACATTTATTGTGTTTACACTGATTAATTACACTGCTGCATAAAGCTTCACCGTTATGGATGAGGTTTAATGAGGTTCAACAGGCAAAGGACTCAACAAGGGTTGTCAGCTCTAGGAGGGCACAGGGCAGCACCCACTTCACATCTGTAAAGAATAGTTATAGTTTATACAGTGCATGCTGGAGCTTTTATTTTGGAGCCTCAGCCTCTTCTTACAAAATAAACAACAGTGACTCATGAATTCCTTGCTAACATCTCAACTGGGACCAATTCCCAGTTTTTCCACCCCCCCCAAAAAAAAAAAAAATTGTCACCTTACCACATCTTAATAGATCTCTGCCCATCAAAGGAATCCACCTCTAAAAGAGAGCATAGAATAAAGAGTATATTCCAAAACAGCCTCAGTTACTAACAAAATATGACAGTTAACTGGAAATTGCAAAAAAAACCAAAAAAGATCTAGAAAGCAAGTCAAAGCTTGTTACTGAAGAGTGTGAGGATTAAAACCAACATACTGCGTATTTGTAGGGAGAGGAACACTTCCTAGCAGGTGTGAACTAGCAAAGCTAGAAACACAAACTGGCCATCAGAAACCCAGGAAAGTCGAGGTTAGCTCTTGGCTGGCCTGGGCCAGCCTTGCTTAGAAGAATCAGACTTCCAGAGGCTTCCAGGTAAGATCAGGTTAGGGCTGATCTATCTTTAGCCTCTGCTGTAAATTGGGAATGAAAACACTCCCTGTTTGCCAACCTTTCTCTGTTAGGATGGTTTACCACCTGAAGAACACAGACAGGAGCTGGGGCTTTTAAAGCACCTGTACAGTACCTTGTGCAGCAGGCCATAATTTCCCAGGGGTTCTGTAAACATTACTGTAACACAGACCAATGTTAATGAGTTGATAGGGCAGGCTTTTTTTATTTTCTAAAACACTGATCAGCTGTTATCACTATAGACATTATAGAAAAAAAATTACAGACAACTCCAGAACGGTTCTTACCCTCTCAGGAGCCAGAAAACCCTACACTTTTTTCCCTGGATATTCCCTTTCCCAAATCATTTAATGAGCTTCCTACTGGTAAGTGCTCATCCTTGTCATGGCAGAAGCTCTGAAGCCGAGCGGGAAAACTTTTGCAGAATTGCTTTGTCAGTGGAATCTCCGGAGGAAGGAAGAGAGTATTTCAGAATTTACAATAGTCTTCCTTCACGTGGGCTGTCTGAGACCTCCTGTCTGCAGCAGATAAAGACACCCCCCCCCCCCCAAAAAAAAATAACAAAACACCAAAGCCTAAAAGCAATATGCTTGTAAAAATTCCAGGCTAAAAAAAGACTGACTCTTTTTGTTGGCAGTATTCCCTCGTACACTGACATGGGGCTCTTTCTGGTTTTTCCCAGGGAATTCTGCCATTCACCGATTGCATTTTTATTTCCTTGTAATATCATGGAAGATGAACACATCCAAAATTTTCAAAGGGGAAAAAAACCCCAAAAAAGCCTGAAAAGCATTTTCCAAAGCACAACAAAGGTTAAAACCTCTTTAATAAAGGGCAAAAGCACTTAAAATTTCAACCCTGTTGTTCAGGAAGACGGATTCCTCCAAGCTAAACCTCATATTGGAAATATGGCATAAGTTACATATGTATTTCAGGAAAAATACCTGTGGTACAGTTCCTTAGGTTGAACTGTAGATAATCGAGCTAGCAATGCCATGCAGCCTGCCCCTTAGCTGCTTTCCATGTCACTGATTTATTCTCTTCTCACAGTTATTTCACATTCATGCTTTTTTCCTCTTTTGCCAATTGATTTGGGAACATAAGAGCCTCATTTCTGGTGCTGCACAGAGCTGGGTGAAGTTGCCCACTCTCCTCTTATACTACATGGGCAAGGACACAGTTTCTTAATACAGAAAAAATAGGAGACTCTAAGCTTCAGGTAAATTTTTAGAAATGTTGTACACTTCTTTTTCTTATACACTCCGGGCTTTCATTTTAACAAGTAAAAGCCCAGCTTTTGACAAGTGAATGGGAATATTCCATATCACCTCTTTTCCCTTAAAAACAGAGGTGCTTCACAAGGATTATCTAACAGCAACTGATTTTCTAGTTGGAGGGTTTACTTATCAGGCCACTATGAGATAGAGAGGGTAAGAAAAAGCTACATAAACATATTAGGAGTAAAAACAACAAACCCCAGTGGGGCCTGCTGTATAAAGGACAGCAATGGACAGAGGACACGTCAAATGGCATTTCTTTTATACAGAGAAAAGCTGACAGATCCTCACTGCAAAATGTTTTGCGCCGGGAAAAGAGAACAGGTCAGAGTAGGAAAGACTGGAGTGAAGACTCTTTCTTTTAGTTCCAGGCAATCAAGATACTGTTTAAGGATCCAAACCCCAGTAATTACCTTTGGGAGGATGGGAAAAGGTGTCAGAGGGCTGGCAAAAAGCAAATATTGCCTTTCTGTGTCTAGGAAAGGAAGATCAAGGTAATTAGAAGCCGGGTCTTCCACGTGAGCTCCTAGAAAAATACCAGAATAACACTGAAAAAATGTTAAAGAAAACAACTGAAAAATCAGCAGCCAGCTGCTAAGCTGTTCAGAACAGCTGACACTCATAGAGTTGATCTCTTCCTGGCAGATCAATCAAGTTTGTGGCCTAGGCTGAGTCAGGAACAAAGAAACAATACTGCCCCACGGTCTGTTATAATTAAGACTTTTAATAATGTCCCAGGAGACATTCCTATGAGGAAACAAGTGAAACAATGCTTAGTTGAAATCACCATAAAATGAGCATATAAGACATGGAATCACTACTCAAAGGGCAGGTTTTCAAAGTTTTTCACTCTCTGTCCAAGGGAACTATTTTATTGCCACCCCACTGTAGAAAAGGGTGATGGAGGAAAGAAATCTTTACCATCTTCTAAAACCTAGAAGTTATTCCCGAGTACTTAGGAGGCATGAGATCAATAACGTTTTATGTCCACTTGGTGCATAACAAGTAGTGGTGGCTTGATTTGTAGTGGCAAAGTTTTAAAGGAAAATTTTCCAAAGAAACCATGAAATGCTAAAACAGGAGTTTTGTAAAGCCTACCTTTCTGTTGGAAATTTTTAAGTCTTGGTTCGAGAAACATTTTTCAGTAACTTTATCAGTAGCTTATGAAAATTCAATGCAGTGCAAAATTATTTTACATTATCCAAAGTTTTCTGTTGAACTTGCAGATCAATCAAAAATTCAAGACAGATACAGAATATGGTGGGATCTCAGATAAGCAGAATATGTAGATGTCTATTTGTACATATAAAAAAAGATAGAGATTCATTTACTATGTCTTCAGAAAAGACTTTTTCTTCACCTACATGGTAAGATTACATCTGCATTTACATATTTCACAGTCTTCCTTTTTAAAACTGTTAATGATGCTGTTATGTCAGCAGACAAAAACCAGAGCATTAAGTACCTCTGAGTAATCCAGTTCCATCTCTCTCCTAGAAGGTAAATTCCTAAATTAAAACACTTGATAACTATTTATATCAAAATGCTTTGTATAATGGGCATTTATCCCATGGCCAAGAGCTGTAGGGCCACTTGAAATTTTGAAGTAATGGAAAAGTCTCCAGCTTCACCCACAGTGACGCTCACTAGAAGAGGGAAAATAAGAGCTTTAGCCAGCCTTGAGGGGAAAAGGAGTTCTGGTGCCAGTAGGGAGGGTGTTTCCTGTTTGGAGAGGAGCTTTCAGCGCTAATTCATCAGAAAATTCAGAGACAAAGGTTTAAGGCACAAGTTTTCCCCGAGGTCTAGATAGGAAGCAAAGATAATTTCCAAAAACACTCTCATCCCTTCTTAGCCTCCGTGTCTCATTAAGTGTGAATAAGGTGGGCAGTGCAACTGCTACCCAGGCGCTGGAATTTTGCAAGGCTGCCTGAGACAGTCTCCACTCTGTCTGGAACCCCAGGAGCCAGAAAATCTCACCTCCCCTTCTTATTTCGGGAACTCTGCTGTGACTCATAGAGCTCAATTTCCCCTGAACGGGCAGAAATACCCACTGAAGAATCCAGCCTGAGGCCAGGGATCACTCTCACTGAGCCAGCTGGGATTCAGAGCACTGGAACATGAAAGAGAGCAAAGGAGCAGAGGAAACAACAACTCACACCTTGAGTTAAGATAAAAGCAGGGCTGGCCTTAACATCACACACTGGCTGTCCACGGGTGCAGGTGGAGGTGATCCCATGCAGAACTTGGTTATTTCTAATTCCAGTGTTGGAAATCATGGCAGAGAAGGTCTTGCTACCCTTCATGCACACAGGAAAGAATGAGTATATCACACAAGCATTGACCCAGCACCGAGGATTGTAGTGCCCGGCTCTGTTCCACAGCCCCACACTCTCGGCAGGTGAGACGTCCCACAAGTGGCACTGATGGGAATGCTGGCTCTGAGGAACAGAACAATTACAGCTTTTGGCAAGTGAGAGGAGCATGGGCAAGTATTAGGATTAGGAGATTAGGTAGGTGGTTGGTACTGTAAAAAAAGTCATCATGAGATATGTTTTTTGTTTTGCAGATTCTCTGCATATCTTCTGCCTTGCTCTGTTCCCAAAAAACACTGTTTTGACTTAGAGACCATGTGAACTGTGGGCAGCACTGGAGTGCTGACACGACCTTCCATTCTCCATTTGTAGTATTATGAGGGAGACACTACAAGAAAGGATGAAGAGGCAGTAGTTTCCCTTCTTTCCTAATACTCCTCACCATTAGTTTACAAATTCCAAGCTTCAGGTCTGTTCTCTTCTGGGATTAAGTCAGCTCCAGGAACATAATTTTTATACATCAGTGGACACAGTATTTAACATGTTTGAGTCCATAACTAAAGCAGCATTCAACAACAATGTTTTGGTCATTAAATCCAGAATTTTTAATTTCAATATTATGACTTGTCAGATTTCTCAGTAAGTGTTCAGCCCAAACTGCCCACTCCCTAGAGCTGTACTCTAAGGAGGGAATGTCTACTAAGCAAGCTTCAGCAAAGGACAGTCAGATACATTAGTCCTTAATTTTTTTACTGGGAAAGAAGTAGTAAACAAACTCTCCAAGTGTTACCTGCAGCAGATCACAAACTAGAGAGCCTCCTTTTTTGAAAGACCTAAAAGTTTTGGGTCATGTATCTAAAAGGTGTTTCAGTGATACTGAGCTCTGTATTTCAAGCCAAGCCCCACAGATTATCGTCTCTGTCTGATGCCACCTATAAAACCAAGCAGCAGAAAGGTCCATCACCAAAACTACTGGAATTCTGTGGAATGAGATCTCAGTGACTTGGTATCTGAAATCTTCAAGGCAGAAGACCAAAGTACAAGGAACAACTGCACAGGACTGAGAAGTAAAACCCCACTCAGGAACAGCTGGCAAAGGCACATGATTCACACTGCTCCTGATTTTTCACAGAACAGAAGCTCTTGAATTGAGTACTCTTTCAGGAGGACTTTTAGCCACCCCACCACAAGTTTGCCACAACCACGAATTATTAAAAGAAAGACATTTATTTCTATCAGCTGGATATGTAATTACTTTTTAGGACAGGCGTGTTTAACACAAGGTTATTAGTGGAGAGTACTTCAATTGCTGCAGATAGTTGTTTCAAGAACAAAGGCATCATCACTAACATTGAAAGCAATGGTGTTAAATTGCTAAATATTATCATTTCCCAGACAAAAAAAAAAAAAAACACAAAAAACCATCAACAAAAAACAGCAACATAAGGCTTTTTAAAGTTCCAGTTAACTGGTGTAAAGATAATTAGGACTTTCCTTATTTCCTGGGGCATGAAAACAATACTTTAACTTCCCCAGTGAACATTTTGCTCTTAGAATACAATACTTTTAGATTTCTTGACTCATCAGGAAGAATGAGTGTCACCTGCCCTGAAACTGCTGCACTTCCACATTTGAGCTTAAAAAGCAATCCACAAACAAAGTCAGTTTTCTAAAATGCTGAGCATGTACCCCACCCTACATTAATACCCCATTAGTAACCCTTCACCTAAAGGCTTGTCAAGCACTGGCTGCCCAGGGAACTGGTGCAGTCACCATCCCTGGAGATATTTAGGTGCTTAGGGACATGGTTTAGTGGTGGACTTGGTAGTGTTAAGTTTATGGTTGGACTCTGATCCTAAAAGCCTTTTCCAAACTAAATGATTGATTCTGTATTTATCCTTCCTGGTGCATATTAGTTGGGGATTTTCTCCCCTCTCATTTACGAATAGACATTTGCTCATCTTTTGTAGCAACACATAATAACAAACAATAGCAGAGCTTGGTTATTTTAGATGACAGAAGTAATAATAAGCTAAGATAACTTTCCTAATAGGTTTGGGGATCAGCAGGAAGGGAAGGAATTGCCACTTATCATCTATAAAATAATTCTGGGCCTGCATGCAACCTTCTTATTTAAAGCAGTTAGGAGTTCAGGTTATTTGTACTTCTAAGCAACAAATAAATACAAATAAAATACAGAGGGGAAGCTACCCTACTGCCAAAATAAAATGAAAGATCCAGATTGTGTATACTTAAAGATAAGTAAATTAGCAGTGCTGTTGCTCTGTACCTTCTAGAGTCCAAGACAGACAAAGATTTACCTAAAGGTTAAGTCAAAGGACATAACTTCAGTTTATGTCCAGAATTCTGCAGGTGAGTCTTCACACCATTACATTCCGTATTCCTTCATTCTGACTTTTTTCCTTAGGAACTGCAGTCCCAACAAAGGAAGGACGTGGCTCCCCTCCAGGCTGAGCACCTCCAGCCCTAAAACCACCGTCCAAACTACCCTCATACCTCTAATCCATGAGTGCACACACGTGAGTTTACCTCGCAGAACAGCAGCTGCGAGGCCCTTCTAGTCAGGATGTCACAAATCCCACACAAATGAACTCTGATCAATTAAACAACTCATTCACACAGTTTGTCTCTGCAGACCACAGGGTAACAGCTGGGACTCAGGAATCATCACCTGCACACGGCTTCCATCACGCCCCCAGCATATGGTGCCAGGCACGGACAGGGAGAGCAGGGAAGGACAACCAAAGGACAGCAGAGCCCTGGAAACAAACCCAGCGGGCTGGTTTCACTGAACAGGGGGATTCAAGGCAGGAGCACTCTTTCAGTACTTCAAAGACTGACAATCCTGTGACAGGCAGGTGATATTCATGGTTATCTGGAAGGAGAACCAGGAGAATGACACCCCTTGGTAGCAAACTCCAGGCTTTTCAAAGGGTGCAGACATTCCAAGAAGTGCCCTCTGGAGAAATGCTTTTCCAGGTGCCCATTTTTAAACCTAGGGAAGAGGGAGCAGCTAGGAAGGCTCAGAAAGGATGCAACAGGCTCCAAAAAGTAAACAAGTTTTCTGTATGTAAAGGGATAAGGTTGGTACAAAAAACCCCAAAGGGATACGAACCATCTGCAAATACAGACCACAAATTAGCAGATGTTTCTAATCAGCAGAGCAATGAGGTTGTAAAACTGCCTTCTATGAGGAGCAGAACAATAGGCTTGGTTTTCATCAGATCTTGTTCAGGTTCTGAAAGGGATCCTAGGAGAGCATTATTCATCAAAACAAGGTATGGGAGGCCCAGAAGAGGCTCTTTATGCTCCAGCATGCCAGAGGTTGGCTTGGATTCCTAACCTTCAGTGCACAAACCAAGCCTCTGGCTCCTGGACTGACTATATACATGCACAGATCCCAAAGACGGTAATACTAAGGCAGATAATGTTATTATCCTGCATTTGTTCCGGCTTCTTCGCTAATCTGAGGAGCTGCTAATCAACAGCTGTTGAAGAAAAATCTTTATTCAAATCCTATTAAATTGTGTGAGCCAAGCAGCAAAGCAGACCTGTGGTCTTTGATGTCCATGATAGTTACAACTTACAACAGTGTGTTTCACTTGCACCAGTGTATTAGGCATTCTTCTGCTCCACTCCAGGGTGTGATCCCACTCGGGGATAAAAAAAAAAAAATTTGCAAAGTACAGCTGAACGTTGACCCTCATTTTATTGTCTCTCTCGTGTGAATGTTACATGTGATGGAAATCCCCTACTTCAAAATTCTTTCCTTAATTTTTTCCTGTAATACAACCAGGAGCCAAATATATCCCTACGTCTTGTGCACTGCTGTCAAGGAGCTTAATAAAGGGAAAAATTTATACAGCTGGAGTTCAGTGTGATTGCTTCCCTTTTCCTGACTCTGGGAATCTGGATTGGCTGAATGGTTTTAGAGAAACCCGTGTTAAGCTTCACTGCAGCACAACATATATTTAACACGTTTGCACAGTAATGTTCTTTTTCTAATCACTTGCCATTCAGAGGTTAAATATCAAAATAAATATCAGGATGTTTTGACATCAGGGTACTCCTATTTGCCTATTCTCAAACGAAATGCTACATTTGACCTTGAACTGCAATCCAGCTTGTTTCTTTTAAGATGTCCTACAAATTCACCGGTGTAGTGTCTGGGCACTGAAAGCGAACAAGAAATAGCAGATCTGAGACCCACACAGTAAACTGATCCTGCATTTTGGCAGGATAAGCCCATCAGATCTGAACTCTGAAGGTGACTTCTGTGACCTGAACTTGCCCAATTACAGCTGGCTTTGGTATCTCCATATGCAGCAGCAGAACAGCCTCACCTTCTCTTCCCCATCCTTCATTTCAATGCAAATTAATAAAATAAGTGACAGCTGGCAATAATTAATTATAATTTCTCAATAATTCCACTCAAGACCAAATTAGCTTTTAACTACAGATCAGAACTACAGAACTACAAATGCCATCATAAGAGCTACCCCATTTGGGCTTTCAACCCAGGCTTTTGCAGGGATCTTTTCTGTTACTGGGTTACTCAGCAGGGAAGCCAATGGGTGTTTTCTTTATAACCATCAGTTACTGCACAATCAACTTTTCCCTAAAGTTGTTTCTGTAAAGTTCCTTTAAAAGAAATACAAAAATCACAGCCTTAATGCCACCACAAAGCCCAGCCGAAATGCAGTTGAGTGTGACAAGAATGTCTTCGTCCCCATCAGCAGTTTCCATCACCCAAACATTTTGCCCAATACACATTCTCTCAGCAGGCACTCCCACTGTCTCAGTCCTCCACCTATTTTCATCACACCTGTTTGTAACATCGACAGTAGCTGAGTTGACCTCAGTTAACAAATTCAAGAGAAATCATTAAACAGAAAGAGCGTGGTCACCCTCTCATAAGGGGTACAGTGGAGAACACAAGGCTATAACCTGCTTTATCCCTCTCGAGACACTCAGGAAGTACTTACAGTAGGTACCAGGACATCACGTACCTTGACAACAATGAACTGGAGTAGCTACCATAGTTACACCCAGTTATCAGACAATGCCACGCGAGCCACAGGTTTTACTGCTTCTTTTTTATCTCTCTGATTCCTGGAATAAGTAGAAAAGTCTGACCAGGTTCAGATGCACCAGCTCAACCACTATCTTGGCTGACACTCACCAAATTCAGCCTGACAACTGTTTTGTTCCACCAACAGTTTAATCCACTGCAACACACATTGCCATATTGTTGCGACCCAAGCCAGTGGAAAGAGAGGTGACTTTTCCAAGGTCATACGAATTAAAACAATCTGATAGGAAGGACATAAACAGAGAAATTTTAGTCATTTGGGCCAGCACAAATCCTGCAAACCATAATGCCATTATCTCTATTTGTAACAGAGAAGAAGCAAAAAATTCTGGCAATGCTGACCCTTATGATTTGCCTACTCAAGAAAAATATCCACTATCTTATCTTATCATCGCATCAGTTCACTGTTACCCAACTTGTTTACAATACTTTTACTCAGAACAATGGGTTTTAGGACACCGCTGTTAAAAGACAAGATGTCTCTTGGCCAAATAAATAAAAACCCCCTTAATTTTTCAGAAAATAGTGCCAAACTCACAGTTAGTATGAGTAAGTCCACGACAAAAGGAAAGTCCCTCCATGCAGCTTTGTTGGAAACAGGCTGTCTCTGGTTTAAGACCCCTGTTGCCCCACACCATCCTCTTTGTACCCTCGAGGCCCACAGTGACGCACTAACAATTCCCACTAACCGCAGGGAATTTTCGCCTAAAAGCCAACAGGAAACTCCTATACCTCAGTGTGGAATGGGAAACTGCTTTTGGGTAAGGTGGACACTTGGGAAGATTAAAGCATTAAAGGAAACAGGACAAAGCTCTGCTTTGACTATTGTTAAGTCACCAACTTATTTACTCAGACTCATGTCAGGTGAAGCCCAGTGCCTGTTCTCCTTGTTGAGGGCAAATTCCTTTCCAATTTAGCTTCTGTCTAAGGTATGTCACAAGTATTTCCTTTGCCATCCTTACCATTGTTGTTTGTTGCTAGCCCCTTCCGTGCCTCATAACTGAAATGGGGCAATAAAGTTTTCCACAGCCACGCAAAAAACTTCTAAGCTTGAGGAAATGAAGCATTCTATTCCAGTTAAAAATAAAGGGGCAGAGTTATTCAAACAAGCAACCTTCGTAATGCTTTCTTAATAAAAGATAAATAGGAACATGAGATATCAGGCAAGATTGGCAAACAAAATAATTGAGGAATAAGCTGTGTACACAGAAACAATCCAAACAAAAATAGACCTCCTAGGTTACTTGAAAAAAACTTGAAGGATTAATTCTACAGCCTAATTTACTACTGGACAAAGCAAGCTCAAACAGCCACCCCAGCTCTGTAAGGCTCTCTAAGAAGTGTGATCCTAAAGGAGACCTCACCCAGGCACAGATTTTATCACTTTCCCTGACTACCCTGGAAATCCCAAACAGCTGAGACAGGAGGGTTGATTTCTACTTTAAGGCCTTTACACCTCTTCATCCCCTAAAATTTAGCAAACAAGGATTTAGCTTCCTGGGGCTCTGCTCGTTTTCCTCCCAGCGGTGCTGCTGCTCTGTGCACAGACAAGGTAACTAACAACAGTCTCTGAAACAACAAAATACTGGACGTTTTTATTAGGGATTGTTTTGGCCGATACAGGAGTTTAGTAAACAACTCTAATTGTAAAGTAACAAGTCTCAAACTAAAGTCTAACCCCAAATTTATATTTGTCTTTATAGTATCTCTAAATGTGTATTTAGATGAGGCATACTCTTCCTCTGTTTTACCGATGCTTTTAATTAATTGCACCTTAATTTATATAGTATGCTGTCTGCATTCAAGTATTATTAGTTTTAGATTTTAAAACTATTATGGGTGGAGAAATCCACGTCAACAATAATGTACTAATTGTATATATGAAAAGAATGAAATAGTTCAGTTAGAAGTGACCTATACTATAGTATTTAAAGAAGGAGTTATGTTGGAACTCGTTTGTGGAGATATTCTGAAAGCCTTATAAAGTAGCTCCTTACAATACAAGACTATGCTCAGCATAGAAATAATTGTATGGAAATATTTTTTTTCATTCAGTAAACATTATAGGTTTAGTCTCAGTGAACAGGTGACAAGGGGAACGGTTTTAAATGAAAGAGAGTAGGTTTAGATTAAATATTGGGAAGAAACTCCTCCCTGTGAGGGTGGGGAGGCCCCGGAACAGGCTGCCCAGAGAAGCCGTGGCTGCCCCATCCCTGGAATGTTCAAGACCGGGTTGGAAAGGGCTTGGAGCAACCTGGGACAGTGTTAGGTCCTCTAAGGGGTGACTAAGCCAAGAGTGATCTATCTGTAGGTCCGCTGCCTCTCAGCTGCCACCGCCCCGTAATTTGCTCGCTGGGCTCTCTGAGGGCCTCCCGCAGCCCCCCCCGCCCATGGCGCCCGCCCCGCCCCGCGCAGGCCCCGCCATGGCGGCCGTGCGGGACGTGGAGATCGACCCCGAGGGCACCTTCAAGTACATCCTGGTGCGGCTGCAGCGCCCGGGCGGCGGGGACCAGCGGGACATCGTCCGCGGCACCGGGGCGGCCGAGTTCCACAGTGCGTGGCAGCCCGCGGCGGGAGGGGCGGGCGGGCAGCGGGGCCCCCCTCACCGGCCCCGGCGGGGCTGAGGCGGAGCGGGAGCCGCCGTCCCGAGCAGCTCAGAAAGCCCCCGTTTTCCCTTTTCTACGTCCCTCGTGTGACATGAAAACTGGGCCCGTTTTCCCTTTTCTACGTCCCTCGTGTGACGTGAAAACTGGGCTCGTTTTCCCCTTTCTGCGTCCCTCGTGGGACATGAAAACTGGGTCCGATCTCTCTGTCAGGTGCCATTCCCAAACCCGCTTTAGGAGAACGAGACGGCGCTAACTTAAGTAAAAATCTAAAATAACGAAACTTAACTACAGCTTTTCTATACCTGCGAAGAGAAATATCCCCCTCTTGTAGGTGGCGAAAGCTGGAGGAAAATGAGTGGAAAATAGAGTACCTGATGCCTAGTGCGTATTCTAATGGCTCTCACCGTTCTTCTTGTGCAGATCATATATTTGAAAAAGTGAATCCTGAGATGGAAAAGCTGGGATATGAGTGCAAGTGCCTTGGAGGAGGGAAAATTGATCACAATAGCAAGGACAAGAAAATAAGGGTATTTGGGCTCTCTACAGTAAGTGCATTGTGAATTCCTTTAAATCCTTTTGTTTCCTGATATTCTGGGATTTTTATAGTATGGTGGCTTTTGGCAATTTTCGTCACAGTGTAAACATTAACTGGAAAACCTGCCTGGCTCACTTGTGAGATAGATTAGAAAAACAATAGTTTTAGGGTGGGAGACAAAAAAAATAAAGTTGGTTGTTACTCAGCATTAGGTTCAGTTATAATTGAGACCAAAAATGAAAGTAGACATCTCCTGATTCAGTCTTTCCATCTTACTGCTAGAGCAGGAATGACCCATTTGTAGCTACAGGGACCTGATCCAGTGACTGTGTGATCTTTATTTGCCAACAAAAATGTTGGTTGGTAGTGACCAGCTAAATCATGTCTGTTAGTCTGTGTGCTGGGTGAGAAGAGCAGACCCAGTTTAGGTGTGAATTTTCAGCAGGTGAAGATGCACTAATGCATTTTGTGGAATAAAAATAGCATTTTAGTTACTTCTTACATTTCCCTGTATATTCAGTTTCTTTAGGAAGGACTCAATAAGTGGTGAGGATTTCTCTTATGTAGGGAAATGCTTCTGGTGTTGCTAAGTGATGAAGCATAGCTGCTTCTGTAGCAATAACTGTAAGTGAAGAGTCTAGGCTTTTAAATTAGACAAGAAGGAAAACAGTTCTATTAAGTTCCTTTAGTTTTCTGTAGTAAGTGATGGTTACTTTGAATACGCTTACCTTAGATGAGCAGTGAAGGTTGGGCCTTGAATGTATCAAGTGTTTGTTAGCGATGCTTTTGTTCCACGATGACTCTTGCCACCTGAATTCATAAGAAAAAAAAACCTCGTTAGGATTTGTGTGGGGTGGGAAGGCAGTGCTTATTCTGTTAAATTCCTGGAATTTTAAGTCCCTCACCACAGCTGTGTTTTTAGGTGAGATTTCACATCCATATTGCTGAGCTCCAAACTGGTGTTAAAGGCAGTGGTCAACTCTTGTCTTTGTTGTCTATGCAAAATACCTTGTTTGTCTGCTTTGGGTACCTTGATGCTTACAGAGGAGCGTGATGTAAAAGCAGAGTTTTATTGCCATGAGGGCTTCTGTCAGGCAGAGACCTGGAGGGCCAGTTGACCTCAGTTACAGGTCAGAAGTTAATATATTAATTACATTGGTTTAATGCTTCTCTTGACTGGGAAGTTTGTTGTCAGATTCTAAAACAGAACTAGCCTGGTGCTTTATGGAAATCAGAGAAACAGTCATTGACTTCTTTTGAAGTAGATGCTGCGTTGCTGTTTGCAAGGCTGGATGGGGTCTTTAAAGTGCTTGCCAATGTAAGAGTGATCTGTAGCTCTTGCTTTACAACTGGCATGACTACATTATTTGGTATTTCTTAAAGTGTGACTTCTACAACACATCAATTTTAACCTGTGTAATTTAAATGCAGTTTATTTAAGCTGTTCCTCTTGGGGCTGAGTCAGTGATGAATAAGAGTACATGTTCTGTGTGATAATGCAGTCTTAACTTAGAAGAATGGAAAAAAAATAGCTCAAGTGTTGTATGAAATATTACTGGAAAAAGAAAGTAACCCATAGATCACAGGCTTTAATCAGTACATTGCACTGTTGTGCAGTAAAGGCTTTCTCACAGGGGGAAAAACTGCAGTTCTGTTATAAGAAATCAAGATAACACGTTCAGTCATGTAAGAAAGTAATGGAAAGGCAAATTCTACCACAACTGTTTCAAATTTCAGTGGAAGCAACACTGAGCAGTGATTTAAATGAGGGTTAAAAATCACATGGGTTATCTGACCTTGCCTTAGTTTGGAGTCGCAGTGGCATAAGAGCACAGATACTTAAAACTAAGCCATTATGAGCTGAGGCAAGATTGCAAATAAATAAAACATGAAGACTGGCTTCTTTAGTGGCTAGAAGAATACTCAAATGTTTGCACATGTGGTGGCTTATTCCCTTTTCCTTCAGCTGAGCCAAAACAGATGTTTGTGTGCCCATACGTTAAAGTGGGTCAGTGCAATCTCTGTGGTTTAGAAGAGCATTCAGTAAATATGGTGGCTGAGGGGTTTGGAACAGTTTAAAATAAGCTTTCCAAAGGAGAAATTATGTGAAAAACGTATCCTCTCACTTCAGGATTGCTTGACCCCATCTCATTTATTTTCTAGAACTTGAATTAGGGGAGGGGGGGGAGTTGGAGAGTACAATAGAAAAATAGAATAATGCAAGAATAATTCTTTTAGAACCTGCATTTGATTGGTATGTGAATAACCTGAAGTTATCAAATCACAACCGGATTATTTGTGAAGACAAGAACTGGATGGTTCTGAAGACTTACTGTACATGTCCAATAAGCATTTGTTCTGTCTTGCAGGGCTATGGGAAAGCAGATCACTCAGTGACTGTAGAGATACTGAAGAAAGTCTATACAGACTATGAAATTACGTGGTCAGATGACAAGAAATAAACTGTGAACACAATCAGCAGTTCAAAACGGGTAACTGTGAGCTGTACTTTGATTATAAATAAAAGTTCAATGTGTCTATATATGTAGGCATAAATCTGGAGTAACTGGACTCTGCTGTAATTTATAATACTGTCAGTAATCCCCAGAGATACTTTGTTTTTCAAGCCTTTGTGCAGGATATGTAGTTCTAAGCCTTTTTCCTCTCCTTTTGATGTGCTGTCTAATTAAACACTTCCACATCATCTGACCTCCAGTTTGTTTTCATCCAGTCCTGTCTCACTGATAAATTGTAGGATACATCAGGATTTTGCCATCAGCTTAAAACACCACAGGACCAAACCTGTTCTCTGGGCTTTTGAGCACAGGTTTTTTTTCAGTTTCCTTTAGTTTTTTATTACTTCTTAGGCTTTTCATCACATCCACATTTACAAAAATTGGTGTGGAGGGTGGGGTTTGGCTGTTATGGTTCTTCACCAATGATCTAAACCTTTGATTTACTCCATGGTTTTGAAAATCCACTATTTGTGTTCCATAAAAGTCATGATCAACGTCTCTGGTGTTCCTGTAAGATCCTTCCCTATAACAGACTGATGGCAATGTCAGATTCTGCCAGTGCTCCTTTCATTGACTTCCCTGTATCACTCTTATTCCCCATTAGAATAGTCATGCTCCTAAACAGTGTGTGAATTAACTCACCTGCTTCCCGTTGTGGCAGGATGTTGCCCTTTATTTGTTTTGAAATGACTTGCTACAAATTTCACTTCTTTGTTGTTTCCTGCCAGTTTTCCTTTAATTCCTTTGTGGATTTCATGGTTTAATTGTTGACTTGCAAGAGGTATTTGTGTATAAATTCTAGTTCTTCTCTTTGCTGTGGTTTCTACTGCACTTATCCACCAGTATCTGGTGGTATAGAGTAGCTTTTTCTTTTCAATGTGCATGTGACTTGGAGTAAAAACTATGAAATTTGAGGGGCTTTAGTCCAGTTTCTATCAAAATAAAATCCTGCTGTTACTGCCTTGTTACACTAGTTATCCATCTCATGTCGCCTTTCTCTTTTGGTTGGGCAGAGAGGAATTTCCAGTTCTCACCCTCAAACCTTTCAGTCCATTCCTCATTAGAAGAGTTCCAGGTATCTCCATCCCAATAATCACGTGGAGCAGGATCTCTTAAACCTGGTGCTGCACCACTTCAAATGCCATAATGACTGCAGGCTTGATTTGACTTCAGATTCTGATTTCAGAACATGATTAAATGTCTGTGTGCCTCCTAATCAAGAATAGCATATGGGTCAGTAATTTGCAAATTGGGCACTTCCCGCTTCCATTCTCATGGGGTTTTTTCCCCCACCAGGCTCTAGTAAAATAACTAATTGCCAGTATACAAACCTGGTTTTTAAATAGCCTCGTTTCCCAAAACCAGCAAATAGTCTTTAAAGGGAAATCATCAGTTAAGGATAGTACCTGTTAAAATAAACAAGCTTTTTAATTTAGTTTCCTGAGGTATTTAATGAGTGATTTTAATCTTTCTCTCCACAACACTTACGGGAAAGACCTAATTTAGACCGGATTTCTTATTGTAATGGCTTGTTCAAAACGTGAGGGGGAAAAAAAGCTGGTGCTTTATGTTGAAACACCAACAGAACAACCAGCTTACAGAACTAAGTGTTGAATCCTGCTTCTTCTCAGCATGTATCTACTGAATTTAAAGACCAGAATTCATTTGGAATCACAGAAATCCCAATGCTAATTTTGCTGACCTCACCCGAGAAAAACATCCTTCATTATTTCCCATCTGTAATTCTGAAATAGGAACTTAATGATCCTGTGTGGGGTTACCTGTTTTGCAGGTGTGCAGTCACTGAGGTTATGGCTCTAGCAGTCTTCTGCTGCAGCCCTTAAACATCTGATGCTGTGTTTGCACAAACACAGAGTTATGTTTGAGCAAGATACTGAGTAAGCAGTATTTAAACTTAAGACAGCAAGTTTGATCATGGGATATTGTCAAGAAGAAACATTGTAGTAGAAGATTGTGAGTACCTTCTTCCTTTATTCATCAAAAAATACCTGAGGTTCTTGTTCTTAACCATATTCTTTGTCATGGTGGTCAGCATTTCTTATTATTTCAGGTCTGGTTCTCTGACACAGCACCAGACCTAGCACGTGTAGAACAACCTATTCAGTCCCTGTGTGCAAGCCATGATTTGTCTTTGTCAAAACTGAGGTTTGAAAAATAGCAAATTAGTTTGTTTCCAGCTTCCCTGTTTTACCAAAAAAGAAAAAAAGGTCTTAACAGTAATTTCTTGATCTGCCAAAGCTAAAGCTTTTGTTCCTCAGTCTGTGGTCAGCAGTTATCTGTTGTCAATAAGTTTCAGAGTCAATGCAGAAAAATTCCAAAGCACAATGACAGTCATGGTACAACTGACTGCATTTTCCCTCCCTCTCCTCTCCTCTGAAAGGCCAGAGTCAGTAGTTTCCAAAGGACTGCTTTAAAATAGTCTGACACAACCGCAGTTAAGGTTCTTCTCTAAAGTACAGGAAATCCTCTATCACTCTGTCTTAATAGCAACAGGGTCAAAATAGGAATCTTGAGGCTGATGTTCACAGCCTTCAGTGATGGGAACTTTTACGCAATAATTAAAGTGATTTAGGTTGCTGCTGTAATAAGTTTTTCCATCCCCTCAGACTGCTGTCTCTTCTCCCCTACATTGAGTATCTCTGCATCCAGTTTACTGCACTGCTTGACTGTCTCTATTTTCCTGTCTCTTTTTTTTTTTATATTTCTTGAAGGACTCCCAATAAAACAGTGCATGATGAGAAGCAGTAGCCTTGATCTACATGTTAGAGCTGTGGAATGGCTTTTTTGTCTGTTTTTTGTTAAGACAAAAAATGCAATGGATTTTTTTTTTTTTAATTGCTGGTGACACTGAGCACTCAGGATGAGGCTTTGTTATTTCTTTGGGTTTGTTTGCGTTTTTGGTAAGGCAATTTCTTCAGCACCATCACTGTCTTCAGCCTAGGAAACAGGAGTGCCTTGCACACGGGCTTTTCTCAATGTTTTCTGTCCTGCCAAACTGCTGAAGAGATGAAACAAGTGCTGGGTGGTTCAGTAGAACCCCAGCAAGGTTTGAAAATGGGGCAGTTAAAAAAAAGGGCAGCAATGTAGTTGAACTGTGCTATCACAACAGTTTGTCTCCTTTCCCAGCTGTCACCTACAGCTCAGTTCTGTCATCCCCCAGTGTTGTACTCAGAGGCTTGTTGGTTGGTTGTTGTAAGGAGCTTCTCTTGTGCCAGGACTCTCAAGTCAGCTTCTGAAACAGAATTGTTTCATTCAATTCTAAAACAGCATCACTTTTCCCAATTACTTGCTGAAATTTTCTTAGAGTGGTATGTCAGAATCTGAATGTGAATATTCCCAGCCCACAGTAGTAAATATTCTCTGGTACACTTTTTCAAAGGCTTGAGTAAATCATGTGTGCATTTACACCGGTAAACATTGCCAGGATTTCTGAGATCACTGGCAGGGTAGAACACAAGTGATAAACACAATCACACCCCCCTCTGGTGGCAAAGCAGCAGAACTCCATTTGTCTGTGCAAAATCAGTGTCAGAAAAGTCCTTTACTTCTAGTCAGACAAAATTTCTCAAACATTTCAATAACCCCCATCCTTAATTTGTCAACCAGAATAACAGAGGAAAAAGCAAAGATATAAGAAGATTAAAACCTTTTTAAATTATTTTTTAAAAACTAGTGGTTGAATTTTAAGTGGAATCTTTAAAGGCCATTTCCATAATGCATCGCTGCAGTCCCTGATCAATGGTTTTAATTATACTGCTTCTAAACACATTTCTCTCTTCAATGAATTTCTGAAAGAGGTAGATACCACCACCAACCCCAAAATAATGCACTTTGCTTGCCAAATACACACGGCCATTTTTATCTAAGAGCTGAGCCAGCGTATCATGCAAAGCACTGTAATAATCAGGATTATAGATGGTCTCAGATGTCAGAATTATATCATACTTTGAAAAGGGTTTGTTGCTGCATAACAGGAGCTGGCTGACTTCAGACCACTCTCCAGAAAAAAACCTGCATTTGGTGAGCACATCAGGTAAGCCCTCTGCTTTCTTGGGCCTCTTGGCAGGAGGTTTGCTGGCTTTTCTGTTCTCTCCACTACTGCTTTCATTTACACAGTTGGCCACCACGTTAGGCAAGGTTATTTCCTCAATCACCGTGCTGTTGTAGTCCTGAAAATGAACTCTTTCAGCTTGACACTTCAGGGCAACTATTCCCAGCAGTCCAGCCCCGCAGCCAAGATCCAATACAGTCTTGTTGGTAAACTGTATTTCAGCCTCAGAAAAGTAGTCCATGAGATCAAAGGTGCATTCCCAGATTTTCAGTCCTCCCTCATAGACTCCTGGGATGAGATCAGAGTGGGAAGAGACGCTTTTGGACACGATGCCTTCGCTGTCGGCATCACCCGAACATGTCATTTCCAGTACAGACACCTTTACATGATACAGGTCCAGTACTGTTTCCATTACTTTGTTTTCCAATATTTTGTTGAGATCTCCAGGTATAATGTGCTCCTTGGCAGCTTTCACACAGTGCTTTGTCTTTGGTGCCTCATCCTGGTGCTCTGCAGCACCTGGCCTGGGGCTGGAGTCTGCTCCAGCATCAGCACTTTTCCTGCTCTCTTCCGTGGGGTCCTGCTTGTGTTTTGGAGAGCCCAGCAGTAAGTAGTGAGTGTCTGCTTCACTGTTCTCGTTTTCATCAATAGCAAAATTAAAACGAAAATCCATTTTTGGGAATAACAGTTTAAAAATGTCAGCTTAATTTATTACAGCCAGAAACACTCATTTAAGAGCAAGACTGATAAAAAGGTGGTCTTTCTTTTTTCTTCTGGCTTTTGTTTTTTGTAGAGGATACTTTTATGTCGGTACTGCTGTGGGAAAGAGTACTTTGTGCTTTAGAGGTAGAGTATCAGATGTTTTGCCAACAGCCGTGCTGGAAATAGAGTAAATAGTTTTACATATCATTAATATCAGCACAAACAGTCTAATTTGTAGCATCCTGATTTTCATTAAAAGGCTGCCCAGGGGGGTAGTGGAGTCTCCCTCTCTGGAGACGTTCCCAAACGCCCTGGACACGTTCCTGTGTCCTCTGCTCCAGGTGACCCTGCCTTGGCAGGAGGAGAGTTGGACAATAATTCTGTGATTAAAAAAAACCCCACCCTCTAACCATTTAAATTTGAGAAAAGGCAGCGTTACGGGGCACCACATCTGTCACACAATACAAATACAGGCAAGGAAATGACAGAATCACAGAATGAGCACAGCTGGTAACTCCGGTAGAGCCCACAGTGCAGAATCCCCCTGCCCCTCCCCGGAGCCCGGCTGAGGCAGCAGCCCCCGTACCCACCGGTGTGCCGGCCGGGATCCCCCTCCGCTTCTCCCACGTGGAGCCGCTTCCGCTTCCTGGCGCGCGGAGGCTCCTGGGATGGCGGGAGAACTTTCCCGCCGTGCCGGGTCCTGAGGGGAGCGAGCCCGGCATGTCCCAGACGGACCCCGAGCCGCTCCTGCGGGAGCTGGGCGGCTGGGACTGGGAGCTGTGCCGCCGGGAGCTGCCCGCCGTCCTGCCCCGGCTCCTCATATCCTTCCCGCCGGGGGTCTCAGCCTTCAGCCTCCCGCGCTCCGGGCGAGTAAACCCAGGGAGGGGGGGGAAGCGGTGGGACCTTGTGAAGGACTGGCACGGGAGAGAAACGCTGAGTGCCGGGGCTTTCGCTGCCAACAGCCCTTCCCTGGAATAAAAGATTGGGGGTAGGAAATAGCGTGGGGTTCATCTAGCGCTATTCACAATTAATTAACAATTCCCTTTCTCCCACCTCCCCCCCCCCAAAAAAAAAAAAATTCAAAAACCACACACCACCACAAAAAACCAAAACCACAACCAAACAAACGAGAAACCCCTCCAGAGTCACGTTTTAGAAACACTTTTTTTTGTATGCGGACTCGGCGATATCAGCCTGCATCCCCTCCCTGTGAACATGAGACAGGGTGAGAAGTCACTGCGACTTCTGCAAGTGCTTCAAGGATAACCTCTATAGCAGAACAAGTTTGATTTTCTTTAACGTTTTTACTCAGTGTACCAAGAGTGTGAAGACTGGACTGAGCACATTCGTAAGTAGTGGCTAAGAAGTGCCTCTTCCTACAGATCGTTGTGTTGCAATTGCCTTATAAGCTCTGCACTACTTAAAATCGCTTAAACTACAACTAGTGCCTTTCAGAGTCTTCAGCAATCCTGCTGGTCCTTGCGTGTTCCACAAACTGCATGTTGAATAAACTTTATTAAAGCCCATAAAGAAGCTCTGCCTGTAAGGCTGCTCTTTCCTTCCTGTTACTTCTGATTTTTCAATAAGTGAAAGAAGGGTGCATTTTATCTTGCATTTTGTTGTCTTTTTGGCTGTTATCTTACAGGTGACAAAGCTCTTGTAATAGCTTATAGTGAAAAGAAAACGAGGCTTATTTGTAACTGTTTAGGAGTCTTGCTAAAACTCACGGTTACTTTGTGTATCAGTCCCGACCAGCACGTTAAATGTGCAGGTATTTGCAGTTTGGAAGGTGGAAAATGCTAGATCCGTAGGCAAACAGTTGTGCTCAGCCTTCAACTAAACTGAGTCAGGCGTGATGCTCTTTTTCATGGTTTTGTGCGTGTTGGGGCTGTTACTGTTACTTGTTTTTTCAGATGATGTATGTGTGTTTTCGTGCATTTCAAATAAGGCAAACCTCTCTCAAAATCAAGTACCTGATCTGTTTTTGCTTGATGCAGTTCTGTATTTCCTCTGGTAGGTTGCTACGTAGTTCTGAGAATCACACATTGTTTTTCCTGTAATGTTTAGATGCTTTTCTTTGCAGGGGTTTTGAGGATCCTGACTGAAATGTTTTTGCCCCATATCAGCCTTGAAGATTTGGAACAAACTTTTTTCTCAAAAGTATTGCCTAAGGTAGGACAGCTTGAATTAACTGTGGAATTGTCAGTTGGCCCAGTGCTAAAACCTGCTTAGAATGCAGTGATTCTTTTTTGAGGTTGCACAATATAATTACTGTATAGGATACGAAATTCAAAATTAAAATTTTACCCTTTAAGAGTTTTCACGGTTTTGTGTTGGATTGTTTCGATGATTCTTCTCATCTTTTACAGTAGGGAGAGAATTAAATATACAATATTCTTTCTTTATTGAGCTTTTTGGTACATCGTGTTTTGTGACTGAAATGCGGGAAAGCCCTAAATTCTCCTGGGACTTCTCTCTGTGGTCTGTGCTTCCATACCAAGGAAACCAGCAGATACAGAACAGTGTTGCTATTTGCATGTGTGCCTTTACAAAATATTTAAGTTTTGTTTCCTTTTGACAGACTCTACAGTTCTTTGATAACTTGATGTATGAGTTATCCAGCGAGGCCAAGGGATTAACCAGCCACAGCACAGAGTTATGCAGTACTGTAAGGAATCTGCTGCAGGCAAGTCCTATCACAAGAGCTGTCACAGGAATGTTTACATCATTCTGTGCCTTTACCTAAACTACTGAGAGGTTTCCAGAATACTTTTGCCGGCTACTGGTGGTTAAAATGTAATTTAATCTTCCTTTGTAGCTGAAGTGAATAATTTGATTGCATTCTATCAAGTGATGCTAATCATAATTTTAAAAAATCATCTCTAATTCTGCTGAAGTTACTAACACAAGTGGCATGTGATTCGCTGTATTTAAAGAGTGAGTCTGACACTTGTTTATACAGTCACTTAATTCTCAGTTTTAAAATTTTTGGCAATGGAGAACAGCAGTCAAAGAAATACAGAGTTTTCACAGTACATACGGAATTGCTCGGTATTATTTTATGGAGCTTCACTCATTTCTAACAAACTGCTTATTTATGCCAATAGTAAACTTAAAATCTAGGTGCAATCCAGCAGGGAAAAAAGACACTTTGGAGGTTATTGCAGGAGCGAAAACCATTGATTGCTGTTGTTTATTCTTGCTTGAAGACTGTGGTGCAACTGCTGGAAACCCTGAGGGGCTGCGTGCGCTGCGTGTGCTCCGGGCAGGAGTGTGTGCCCCTGGAGAGCATCCGCTCCCTGCCGGCCTCCGTGCTCTGTGTCATAAAGAACACCTTTACTCACTGCAGGGTAAGTCTCTGGCGGGAGGAGAAACATCCTTGTGCTCCTTGGGGTTTGGGAAACGCCCACTTTGTAAGGAGATCCTATTCTGAAATAATATTGTTGTCGAATTCTTTTAATTCAGATTTAGCTGTTAAACAGTTTACTTGTTGTTACGAGTACAGAGGTGATTTTGCAGCTGTGTGCCCAGCAAATAATGACCTGGTGGTGGGAGGCTCAGACTGTGCTATTTCCATATTTTGCACCAGTGTTCACTGAACATTTTGCTCGTGAATGGAGTACTCAGTGAGATCTGTGCACTCCTAATGGCTGCAGGATTTTCAGAGCTATCAGTGGTTACCAACATGGTGTGACTTACCTTATTTCCATGCAAGTTCCAAAGGGGACTGAAAACTGAGATTGGCATCTTTATGCTGGCTACAAGGAACATCTCTCAATTTCAGATCTGGATTTTCAGATGCAACAGGAATTCCCTCTAAGCAGTGAAAATAAAACCATGTTATTATAAGGACACGGGAGACTTTGGTTGCCTTTCATTTTCACTTTCAGTCTGTCTGTCTATTTTTACATCAGTTTTCCATGTCAGGATGTAAACTCAGGTGCCACACCTTTATCTAATAATTTTAATTTAAAAGTATTGGGAAGTATTTGGAATGCTACTTCCTTTGTTGCTAACATTGTAGTCTATTGTAAAATAGGATCATATGATCCATGGAAGTTCACCTGTGGAGGCCTAATCTAGAACCTTCTTTTTAAACCTCTTGTTTCCTGTTTTTTGCAGGACAGTGAATCAGTGTACTGTGGCCACCTGCACTTGATTTCTGACCTCCTACAAGCTGTGTTCAAGGAAACTTACTCCCTTCAGAAGCAGCTGATGGAACTAGTTGATATGATTTCCATGGGCTCTGCATCCACTGAAGATAACATCGCAGACATAGTGTCAAGTATATGTGGATTTAATTAACACTTTTTCAGGCTTGCTTAGTCATTTTTTTTCTATAGAGTGTATTTGAATTCTTAAAACAGGTGTGTGAGAGTGCTCAGTTCCTGCTGTCCTGACCAGCCTTTCAAAAAGCAGAATTTTGAAGCTCAAAATATTTCTGTTGTTCTCCTGAAACTTCCTCTGTGGGATGGGGCATGTTGTGTAGGTTTGTAGGGAAGGGGCAGCACATAAACACTGAGCTATTTTCCTAGTTCAGTGTCAGTGTGCTGGTATTCTCTTAGTGCTTGGGATTGCTGTGAACACATAAATCTGATTTAACTCTAGTTGTTATTATTTCCTTAGTGATCCACACTGTGCTGGAGATCTGCTCTGTCATTTCCAATATGGACCATGCTCTTCATGCCAACACGTGGAAGTTCATCATCAAGTATGTCACTGAACTGTAATTTTGAATAATGAAGGTTTCGATTGCTTTGTGTTCGGAGTTTCAAATAAAATTGAAATTAGAGAATTCACTTTAGCTGTTTGGGAAGTAAATTTAGAAGTTCAATTTAGAAATTTAGCCAGGAGTGGTATTAAAGCACTGCCAATGAAAGGAGGTAGGAACGGGTGTGAAAAGTAGTAGAAACTTGACTTTTCGTACTGCAACAAAGAAGAAAATTTGTAGCACTGTTGTCTGAACAAATAATATTAAGAGGTCTCACCTGCAATTTTGTAGACATTTTTGGCTTGATTGACTGCCTTGTGCTTTCATCCTGCCTCTGCTCTGATCCCTGGCTGTGGAGAAGGTTCTCTCTGAGCTTCTGTTTTCGGTGTACACAGATATTGCACCAATCAGTGTTGTACAAAAGCCTGAAGAAGTTATTTGGATTTGTGAGAACTCATTGCATGATCACTTCTGGCCATTAAATATTCCCGCCTTGCAGGCAAAGCCTGAAGCATCACTCCCTGCTGCAGTGCCATCTGAAGCACAGTGACATCCTGGGTGGCCTCTGCAAGGACACTCTTGAGTCTTTCGACTCCTGTTTGCAACTGGCTGAGCAAATGAAGGTGTCAGAGATACAGGTGAGCTCAAAAGCTCCCAGAGCTGACAGTGACCTTGAGGAGGAGAAATTCTTTGTGCTTGGAGTAGTTTGGGTTTGGTTTTTTGGGTTTTCTTTATTTCACGTGGCAGGCAGAATACCTTATTCTTTTGAAACCACATGAAAGTGAGGCCCATTGCTTTATTTAGATTGAGGATGTTTTGTGAGACAATTAACTTTTCACCATACTCTGTGAGAATTTATTTCCTGAACTGGCAATATCCCAAGATCAATCAAAAGATAACCTCCCAATTCTGAATATTGCTCTAAAAACGTTGAGGCATAATGAATATTTTTAAAGGTTTCCCCCCTTGGCTGCAGAGTCTGTAGAGAATCAAATGTGAAATAGATTTTGAACATTGTTAGCAATCTTAACTTTCTTTTTTATTGTATTACTCTGTATATTAACTTTTAGAACTGCTTCTTTTGCACAGGAGGGCACTGATTTAAGGCTGTTTCAGAAGACAGTCAAATTGTGCAGGTTCTTTGCTAATTCCCTAGTTCACTACACCAAGGTAGGTTCTGTCCTTCAAGTCTGTGTTAGTATTAAATTCAAGCCTCTGGTCTGCAGATGGAATAATTTTGTACTGCATAATATCTTAACAATTTGTGACTATCCCATATGGGCAGTATAATTAACATCCATAATTAACATCTAGTAACCTGCTTGTAGTTCTTTCACCTTTATACACACACAACCCTAAGCAGGGATTTCCCAGAAAAACAAGTACAATAAACTGTTTCATGCAGTATCACCATGGAGTTGGTAGGAGATGTCCATTTTTGTGGCCAGAGTGGCCAAGTTTCCAGAATTGTTGGTGGTTTGAACCATTGAATTGGATGTAGCATTAAGAAGAAGAAATGGATACTGTTGTTTATTGTTTGCTCTTGCTTTCTGCTGTGGATTGTTAGAACTTGAACCATTTTTGCAGTTTAGTACTTTACACACCAGTATAGGAGAACAAAAAGTGTAATTAATGGTGTATTTTATATTGAAACCACCATTTAAAATTAATGGCTTTTGCAGGAATTTCTTGCTTACTTCTCTGACTCCTGTTCTCAGTTACATCAGCTCTTTCTTCAGATATACAGGTATGTGAAGTACAAATAATTGATCACTGATAGTATCTTAATGACATCTCTTTACTGCATTCCTAAAGTTACAAGTATTTTGAGACATAGAAATACAGTTCTTGTTCCAAAACTGTTGTCATCTTTTTTTTTTTTTTCATGGATAGAAAACAAAAATATTTTTTAATAAATTCGGCATTTTTGTGGGATGGAGTTACCCAAACCCCATTCTTGATCATTGCTGTGCATGTCCCATATTGACAAACCATTCACTTCGTTGAAACTTCTTCTGTCAACATTTCTTAACAAAGTACGTGCAGAACATGCAGAAAGTAAAAATCCAGCACTAAATACAGGTGTCAGTAATGACATGTGACAGATTGTCTCTACTTTAAGACAAAGTATGGAAACATTCACCCTGGAGAAAGAGAGGATCAGAAACAAAGTATCCTGACATTTTTTGTTAGCTTTACTGTGTGTTACCAATCCTGTGAAATCTCACAAGAGGGACTCTGCTTCTCTTGGAAGCAAATGCTCTTTTAATGTTTTGTTCATAAACCAATGGTCTGCAAGCCATTTATCACTCTTCTTTCACAGGTTTTGTTCTATTTGCTGCAGTGGTGGTGAGGGATAGGGGAATGTGGGCTTTCTACTGATCACAGTTTGCCCTCTGAAATCCGAGGGCTGATTCCAGCCATTCTTTTGGAATTCAAACCACGTTCTGTGGTGACATGTGCACCTGAGTTCACTGCATGTTTCACTGCAAGACTGGGGGGATATTTTTTTATGAGTCTCCTCTTTCAACTTTACTTACCTCGTAGATCTTTCTCAAGTGCAAGGTTGTAAACTTTTATTTGCTCAGGGAAACCGGACAGGATTTTCTAGTAGCAAGGTAGCATTTTTACAGTCACTTTATCAGCTCCAAGAGTGGAAGGTTTTCATTTCACGATCTCTTTTGAATTATTCTCCTCTTGGTTCTTTTTTTTCTTTTATTGCCCAAGGTTTTCCCTCCAAAGAAACTGGTACCCTTTTAGTGTCACTTGTTAAATCAGTGCTGTCACATGTATGACTGTCAAATTGTCTATACAGATATTTTGCTGGCTTTTCTTTTTTACTTGACTTTTGTGATTTGATATGTTTCTTCTGATAGGTGTATTTTACATGCATTTTCTGTGTGTAAGGTTTTCTTTCAGTGTTTAGTAAAATACTGGATTGTGATGCTAAATTTAAAAGCTGAATGCAGAGCTGTAGCTCTGATATTCTAAAATAGGGAGCCTTTTATTTCACAGGAACAAGGAAATAAGAAACTTCTTTGTAGTTCTTTTGGAAAAAAGTAATATTGCTGAAAATGCTACTGAGAATATTTAACTTTTTTTTTTTTTTTTTCCATTCCCCCTCAGCAAATTTCCTCCCAGTCTCTATGCTCCAGAGATCTTGGAAGTTCATCGAGAGGAAATATCCCGGGTCTTTCTCGTGGCTCTGGATCCTCTCATCAACCAGCTTCTTCCCTTTAGTCCTTTCATGGAGCAAGTGTTAAGTGAGAAGTTAGGTGGGTTGAAGATGCAGCTGCCATGCTGTGGTACTGTGTAAATGTCTGCAAGGGATTGGGACTGTATTATGACAATATTCTGTACCTGTTTGCTTGTCTGTAGTTCTTGTGTAAGCACTGTGATAGAGGCAGCTCCATCTGACTTGGATGAATTTTGTAGCAGAGAGTTCATGTTGTTGCTGAATTCATCTTTTCCAAAAGATTCCCAGTAACTTCAGTATTAATCTGGTTAACAGAAATCCTGTCAATTCTGCTCTTTTGCATAATTTCAATCTACTTTTGTCACATACTTTCAGAGTAAGCTGAAATTTTTCTGCTGTTCTGTTGGTGGGGGAAGACAAACATTTTTTTCCTAAATTAAATATTTTCTGTGAAAAGCAGAATGCCTTCAAACTGAATAATTACTACCTTTTTGTTCCTACACTCCCTGCTCCCTGATTTCTGCCCCGACCAAGAAGTCATAATTCTGGAATAGCTGAGAGAGTTCATCAGTTTGCCTCTACACTTGCTTTAAAAGCCAGTTTACACGTGTGATGTATTTACCAGGGCAACCTGCATCACACTTTAAAACCAAACTTCTGCAGGTCTCCCTCCTGAGCAGCAGCTGCCCCAGCTCCTCCTCCTGGTTACCATCATGGACAAGCTGCCCTCTCAGCCTGAAGAAGTGCAGACTCTCTGGAACACAGGAAAAAGGTACTAAAGAGGTTTTTGTTGCAGTTCTTCCCCACAGCAATCGTTCCGTGCAGGCAAACAGAGGGGCTCAGCTGCTGGAGTTCCCCGTGCAACTGAGCAGTAAAATTTGTCAGACTCTGTGGATTTACATCCTTCTGCCGAGACAAACAGGATCTGATGTCCAGTGCCTCAGGAGGGAAGGATACAGAGCCAGAGATGTCATTGTTTTTTCAGGAAAGGAATGGTATTTAGAGTACTTCCAGGACAAGAAGAGAGAGAAGTTTTGAATTTGCTGATGCTTCACTGAGTTAAAATCTCACACTTTTATGCCTGAACCTCCAAATAACCACCTGGATTTGTAAAAGAGGAAGGCAGTCAGTGTAAAACCACTGAAGTTACTGCTATTGTTCCTTGTCAAAGATTTTTGTAGTACAAAGGTTTTATAGTACAGATGTTTCTTGGGGGATTTTGGATTTACGTCTCTGTAACCCAACTATTTATCTATTTATTTTTTTTCTTTTCCCCTTGCAGCCTGTCTTTGTTTTCAGCTCTCTTCTTCAGTTTCCAGCAATGTCCTGGTGAGCTTTCTCTCCCTGTCTGTTTGCCAGAGGTGATCAGTAGTGGCCAGCCAGCAGTTCCCATCACCCTCTATCACTATGTCTGTGTCCACCTGTGCTCCTTCATTGCCTCCACACTCCCATCACACTTCCCTCAGTTGGTAAGATTGGTTTTTGCTTTCTTTTATGCAGTATTCAAATTGCATTAATTTCACCTGGTTTTATTAGTCTATACTAAGTTTGGAGTAGTTTATATTGTTGGGATTCCAGCTAAAAACATACCGTAAAATGGTAACGAGCAACATTTTCTACTTCAGAGGAGTATTTTGATTAACATTACATGTTTCCAAAGTTTTTCACTTTTACTGCACATAGACAGAAGTACCTCCAGATGAATGTAAACCTTGATAAAGTTGGGAGCTGTCACAAAAAATTACAGCCCTAATTTAGGAGTTTGTTTGTTTGGTTTTTTCTGAATGCTGTGTTCCTCTTTCAGGTAAAATTTGTGTTCAGAAAAGAGGAAACTTATTTATTTGGTTTTCAGTAGGTTGCCAGTAAAGCAGGAAAGAAAACTGGCAATACATTGGTTAGAATTAAATATTTTTTTGGTAGGAGTTGCCTTGCAAAGAAGGGATGACACGATGAAATGTCTCCAAGTGAAGGATCCTCAGGCCATGGAGGTGAATGCACATGGGCATTCAAAGTGTGCAAATCTAAAGGTGTAGCTGCTCATTTGATGGTGTAGCTGAGTATGGAGTACAAAAATGACTTCTTCAAACATTTTAAATTGGATAAGCTTGAAACTCTTCCTAGGCTTTGTACTAATTAGTGAAGTAAAAGGAGTAGCAGGCCTGCAATCAGTTCCTACATAACATTCATATGTCTATTTTCTGCTCAGGAATATGCCCTGCTGGATGCAGTGCTGGGCTCCAGCATGATCACATCTCTGCTGGCAATGGACTCCTGGTGCTTCCTTGCCCGGTAAGATGCTCTTATTACGGGTCAAGCAGGTTTTCCACAGATCCGGTTTATTCTGTTGTTGTTGTTAATTCCTTCAGAGATTTTTTTTTTTATTTTAAAGACAAAATTTTCCCAGAATGGGATTCTTTTCAGATTTGGAGCACATTTTGAGAATTAGGAGCAGAAATGGCTTAGCCGTTTTTTCATTCATGCAAGCAAGAGGAATATACTTTATTAGTTGATAATTGTTTTTTGGAATGGTTATCTCAAGTAAATTGGGTCTGCTAATCAAGCTGAAATATGTTAGAGGAAATGGCCATTTCTCAGACAAGGTTTACAGTGTATATTCTGTAAAAGCCTAGGAAGTACAGGCTCACCAGCTTCTGTCTCTCATGTTCCAGGTATGGAACAGCTGAACTGTGTGCTCACCACGTTCATGTGATCGCCCACTTGGTAAGAACCACTGTGTGTTTGCAGCTTGGCACCACTTTTAATCCAAGTTATACTGGCAAACTTTATAAATGACCAAAGACAGGCATTTATATTTTTTTAAGTCCACATTGAGATTGTTTCAGTTCTTCAAATTGGATTAAAAATTAGCAAAAGCAGTACAGTAAAAATATAAAACAACATGCCTGGTATTTCCAACATGATCCCACACAGCAACTCGCAGAACGCTGTGTATAGAATTCATTTGCTTAGTGGCGATTTTTGTCCTTAATTTAATTGGATGCATTACCCTTTTATGCTAATGCAGCTGAAGGCTTGGCCCAGTGACTGTTACCAGGTCTCTGCCCTGGGTGTCCTGCTGAGGCGTCTGCTGTTCATGATGGCTCCGGATCATCAGGCAAGTCCAGCACCAGCATCTTCTGCCTTTACTGGGAGAGATTTGAACCAGTGACCTGTGTTACAATATCCTCTTTCAGTTCTTCAGAAGTGCCAAGATCAGTGCTCGCTCATTGTCCTTGTTCTTGTGGTTGTCATTACTGAGTCACAGTGGATCCCACTTTGTGCAGACTGCACACCTTTCCCGGTGTTTGGCTGGCCAGCAGTGGAGTCCTTTTCCTGACTGAGGATGAAAACAGCACATCTCCCAGATTTGCTGAAAACTGTGTGTCCTGTCATTGCATCTGTGACTGGTGTTCATGAGTGTTCCCGTGACATCAGGAGTAAAGAGCAGTGTCCTGTCCTGTCAGTGAGAGGCCAAAGCCCTTTATTCTTCTCACTGGGGCCGCTGCTTCAAGCAGCTGAAAGAATTAAGTCATTTAATCATTCTGATGTCCTATACATGACAAGGGAGGTGGCAGTTCTACAACTTTTTTATATAAAAAGATTAATTTTATTTAGCCGAAATGTTTTACACTCTTTCATGTAGTATATCTAAAGCAAACCAGCAGTGGTTTCTCAGCTTTCTGAGAGGTTATCAAGTTGTCTTCTGGCCTGCTAAGTTTCTGTTACCGTTTGTTTCCAGGTAGAATTCGCTCACAAGTTTCCCCCAGAGGAGGTGGAGAACCTGGCTGTGTGGCAGCACACGTCGCTCAGGGCCCTGAACCCTGACCTGAGGCAGCAAGTGGCGGCTCAGCTGTGCGTGGCCGGGCTCGCGCAGTGCCGGCGATGGCTCCACGGCAGGCGCGCCCTGGGGGAGCTCCCACCTGTGGTAAAGGGCTTTGGTTCTCTTTGTCAGAATGTGGGAGCTCTGGGTTGCCAAGCTATAAGCGTTCTGTTGCTGTCACCTCAGTTTTTCAGTGTGTTTTCTCCATGCCTAACTGGCATCGGCACGAGCAAGAACTCTTCGTGTTAACGTTTTCTTCCAGCACACAGCACTTTAGAGCCTCTACTGCGACAGTGGAGCTCTTGTGGTTCCCAGGTTATTCTAGTTGTTTGCTATCTGGGTGTGCACATGTGTTTTTGTTTAGAGTTTCTGATTTGTGCTATACCTTGGGATACAGTTATTTTTGAAGTTTTAAAGTCCTGGCTGGTTTTAGGCAGCATCAAATCTGAAAGATGCTCACTGGTCTCCTTGGTGAGGGAGTGTGAGAAAGCAGAGGCTTCCCCATGAAGTGTGTGCTGCCAGATTCCTCCTGCCAGTGCAGCGAATGACTGGAGCACGTGTGAGACTCGCAGGAGTGACGGATGGTTTCCCTGCTTTGGAAGCTTGATTGGCTGGTGGATTAACTGTGCTGTACAGCTGACACAGCACACTGGGTTTCTTGCCATCTTGCATCATTTTAGATGTTTATCAGCAGCCTGGGGTTTTGGGTTGTTCTACGTGTAGATTTTTCTGGTCTGCCTTATACATTTTTTCCTCCTAGAACGCTGCCCTTTCTGTCCTGTTGGCTGCCTGCAGTTTTGCTGATGACACTCTGGAGGCAGAACTTAAGGCATCTGTCTTGGGAGTGCTCAGTCAGTTCTGGACTTTTCTCCAGGCTAAGCAGGTAAGAGAATTTGCTGCTCCAGTGGTGAAAACATGATGTCTTTGAGAGGCCAGTGCTATTTCATCACATTGTTGTTACTAATTTGTTTTCCTTGGACTGTTTCTGTAAAGCACAGTGTAACTGTGCTGCCCATCTGCTCTCAGCTGGTTTATGTTTTGGGCCGGCCTGTGCTCTGGGAAGCCCAGTTTGACTTTTGCTGAATGTTACATGTGTGGCTCCTCGTGACTCCATCTGTTACTCAGTGTCAGATTCAGACTCCCTCAAGGAGAAATCTGAAATTCCTCATTCTGATTTGCACCAGTGACAAATTTGGGCTGTTTTAAATGGTCATTGGAATGTGAACGAAACTCACAGTGGTTTGCTTGCTGCACAGCCTGGGCACATGGAAACCCACACCCCCCCTCTCAGATGTGAGGGGGTCAGGCAATGCCCTTGCAACCATGTTACCTGTTTGTGGCTGCAGCTGCATAAAGAAAAGAAAAAAGGATTCCCGTGGTTCATGCTTCTGATTAAAAAAAAGGAAGTTTGAGAGTGAGGGTGAAGAGGAGCCAACAATGTGCCCCTTCAGAGGTCTCTTCCAACCTCAGCCATTCTGTGAGGACAGTTGGCAACTGAGAAGTGAAAAGAAATAGTTCAGATAACCTTCAGCTGCTTATTTTAGTGAGCTATAAGAGGAGACGAGGGCTAAGAAATATTGTAATAAAAATCAAAGAAATGGGTCTTGTAAAATATGACTACCTAGAAGTATTGAATGACTATTGTACTGTTTTCTTCTGCTTACAATGCAGTGTTTCACGTGTGTGAGGTCAGACTCAGAGTTTTGGAACACTACTGTAACTTGAAATTCTTTCTTGAGTAGTTATTCCGTAAGTTAAAATGCAATGCTGTGATCTCTTGAAGGTCTCAGATGAGCCATGTCTCCAGCAGATACTGTGTCTATTACTTCACCTTTTGGAATTTTTCATCCAAGCATTAGATGCTCAACTGATTACTCAGGTAAAAAAAAAAAATCCACAAAACTGTAAACACCTTCTTATGAGTAATTTACTTCATGAAAACCAAATTCTCTGTGATTTGCTGAAATCTGAAATGAGTTATTTCATGGTCTGGCTACCTTTTAACACATGAAGGTTTCTAGTTTTACCTCTTGCTTGATAGCTTTCCTGGGTTTTAAACCAAGCATATGGCATTTTGGTTATCAGTGCTTTTGAGAATCTCGGGTTACTCTGTAAGATATTGAGATATGTGGATATGCTCATGTGTGGAGCCTGCTCATTCCTTTCTAAACTGCACCTTTATCCTATCCAGTTTTATTTGAGGTGCAGCAACGCCTCCTTTTGGCTCAAGTCCAGTTTTCTCAGTGTCTGTGGATGTAAAGATGAGACAGCACCATTTTAACCCGCAGTCTGTTGATGGAGCTTCCCTGGGGTTTGTTTTCCACAGGTATTTGCACTGCAGTCTTCCGTTTTCCAGCTGGATCCCCCGGATCATGTTCGTCTAGCGATGGTGGATTTTCTGTCTTCCATGGGAAAGGTGTTTATACCACAAGAAGCACAGGTAAGTGTAACTGTGGTGTTAGTGAAATCATCTTCAGTCTTTTGATGAAAAGATACACCTTTTATTTAAATATACAGTTCATCAAATCCGTATAGGAGTGCCAGGACATGATCATCTTGGAGACTTATTAATGGTCTGTGTCACGTTTATTTTTCATGAAGACATGCTGAGTGCATGTAAGATGCTTGGTTTATTCACTGTTTTTGCCTCTCACCAGACTGACATTTCAACCTCTAGGAAGAAACAACATGTCACCTCACTCACAGTGGGTTTTTCTGCCAGACAGGGCAGTAGCACTCCTGCATTTCCCAAACATGTCCCTTGACCTTAGAGCAATTCTTCAGTAATAAATCCCGATGGTAAGACGTGCCCAGCTAACTCTTTGGAACTGAAGGGTGTTTGTTCCTCCTGCAGAGGCAGGTTGTGCCCCAGCTGTCGAGTCTCTTTGCCTCTCTGCTGGCTGACCAGACCTGGCTGATTCACCAGCATGCGTTGGAGGCGTTCACACGTTTTGCAGAGGTGAGCAGAGCACAGCTCTGGGTGTCTGGCTCTCTTAACTTCTCTTCTACAAAAATTCTCCTGTCTTAAATATTTGCTGCTCTTCCCTGTGCAGTTTGGGCTTTAGTGTTACAGGTGCTATTGCACCTCGAAAGTAATGAGAGCTCATGCAGCTGGAAGTGATTTCAGGAGCTGAAGTGAAGGAAGATGAAGCACTGGTTGCTTAGCTTGGTTGTAAGAGGACAGGGACTGTCATAGAAAGATTTTTTACTTTGTCCCTTCCCTTGCTAACATCAATGTACTGATCAACTACTAACATTTCTGGCAGGAAACAAGCCATGAAGATATTGTTCCTCTGTGCCTTAATTCTGAAGAAGCTAAGAACAAAGTTGTTAATTTTCTGGCTAAGGTACGTAAGTTGCTGAACCACTTCACTGCTTTCTCAGTTGATATTGTACACCCATCACAAGCAGTAAACAGCCTGTGTCTATACCTGCATCGTCTGCATGGTGATTAAAAATAAGTTTAAAATAAGGTCTTGTCAATGGGATCTGGTTGAACTTTTCTACTTTCTTTAATTAGCAGAATTAACAACTGCCATTCCTATGAACAATGCTCTTTCAGTACTTCCCAACTTTGATTTAAATGCTTTGCTTTTTCCTCCCTAAACAAAAAGTTAATGAATTGCACACAGAGATTTCATCATTTGGTTGGTATGACTTCCTTCCCCATTTCTCTTGGATGAGCTTCTGAAATCTAAATGAACACAAATGAAACATCTTAGTCCTTTTTGCATATTAGAAGAAATCCTCTCCAGAGTAGGTGGTTTTTGCTGCAGAACACAGACACTGTGGAAGGGGGTGGCTGTTGTGCTGTAACCTAAGGCAGGGCTCTCTGCTGAGCAGCTTTTGACAAGCAGATAATTTGCAAAAGAACTGATAACTGCCAGTAATGCTAAACCAGAGCTGTAGGTAACTTTAATCTCCCGATCAGAAAAGTGTGTGAGAAATATTCGCTTCGAGCTGCTGCATGTTAAAATGTCTCCTTCCCTTCCTTTTGTTCTGGCATATAAATTGAGCCTATGAAGGCTGGTAAGGCTGCCTTGGTTTAGTTACCTCTCCTGTGGTTTTCTCCCAAGACAAGGCAGATAGAAGAGACCAGAGAAGCACGAGCAGAACGCACAAAGCAAGAAAGGATTACCTGGAGTGCACAGGTTTTGAGAGGGGACCGAGAACTGGAGTCAACAGGAGAGGTACGTGTGCTTCCTTAAACTATCTGGGCCCTGCTGTCGATTTCTGTCAGTTCTGGGAAGTCTCTGAAGAGGCTCAGGATGGCCTTGCTGCCCTTCATCTTCCAAGAAAAAAGATCACGAGCACTCCTGGCCCTTAAAAAGACCTGAGTGGTCTGTAGTGCCTGCAGGGCAGCAAGAGCTCCCCCAGGACAAGGGCATCTTGCAGCTCTGTTCTATCCAAGGGTTTTCTTGCACTTGGGTGAGGACTGAGCACTTACACAGAGCACTAAAATAATGTTTCATGTTTACTGAAATCCGCAGCCCCTGGCCAAAAGAGCCTGTCACCCGCCCTCCGAGGAGCAGTACAAGTCGGCAGTGGGCTCCATGGAGGGGGCAGTGGAGGCTGTGAAGCTGCTGCTGCAGAAAGGGTCCCCCCCAGCCTGGCTGGCAGGGAGGCTGGAGGCCCTGCACGCAGCCATAGCCACCCTCAGGGACAGCGCACGCTGAGCGCTCCTCGGAGCCAGCTCAGCTCCCTGCAGGGAGGGAAGAGGTGCCTTTGTACCACGAGAGCTGGAGAAGGAAGCACTGTCTCCACTGCACCTGTGCCAAAATGGACTGAGGGGTGAGATGTCGGCCCGTGTGTCACAGTAAGTGGCTGGAAGGAGTTGCTGTATTTTAATGGACACTACTGTGCATCTCAGCTGTCAGTTTGTACGCTGCCAATTTTGTATAGTTGTTTGTATATTGTTTGTTTTTTTACTGTGTGGAGATAAACATTCCATGATACTGTATTCTGAATACTAAGAGGTTGGAATCTGTTGTAAAAGTAACAGTTACTTCGTTCCTGTCACCTCCAGGTGACCAGGCAGTAGGTGTTTTTATCTTAATTTTAAAATGCACTCGAGAATAACAGCTTAAGGCTCTATACTGTTCTCTGAACATACCTCTGCTGCTGGTTCCACTCCAGGCTAGGCTCATCTTTTAAAAACAATCTTTATTGGTCACAGTTAAGAGCAGAAAGAACACGGTGCTTTAGCAGTTCATGGTCATTCACTGCACGGTTCCTGGCACCACTTGTGCCATCCACTGACAGAGCTACATAAACAGAAATAAATAAGTTGAGTAAACTGTACATTCATCTTAAAATCATCTCTTAGCTAAAAAGTTAAAAGGAGCCATTTCTAAGGCCTTGGCTTTTCAGGGGGTAGGGCTGGGGGGGGGGAAATAAAAAAACAAAGGAAAAAGGCACATTAACCAAGGAACTGAGTGTGACTGTCATTTATTGTCAGCAGTTTGTCAGGGCAGGGATGAGTTCTGGAACAATCTCTTACACCACTTTTGGCCTCCAGTAGCACGTCAGCCCCATCCCACCCTTCACCACCATCCCGCCGTTCCTGTCTCCGGGAGCAGCGGCACCACCACAGCTGGGCATATTGCTCGAGTGCAGGCCTCACCCCTGCAGGATTTGGCACAGACTGGGGAGGAGCAGCCGTGGCAGGAGCTCAGGTCCCCTGGGATCTCTCTGGCTGTGCAGCCAGTGCCTGCCTTCTGGCAAAAGCAGCACTGAGGTACTTATCCTTTGGACTGGGGAAGCAGCGACTCCTCGCACAGGGTCCAACACACCACAGATCGCCTTGGTCTCCTTCCGTCCCATTACCAGTTTGTATCATCTTCCCAGTTCAACTCCTCTTCTTCGCCCCAGCCTGTAGCTTCAGCCTAGAATCACATTAAATCATCACACATCAAGGCACATGCACTGTACCTGTGTGCTTAGCACAGCTCCAGGAGCCTGTGTGGCACACATGCCAAAATGTCAAAAATAAAGTGCCAGTAGTTGTAGGTTTTGGTCTTAAAGAACTTTAAACTACAACAGGAAACTCTTTAGAGACAAAAACAAATTTAAGGGGGAGAGTCTTAAATTTTTTCCCTAAAATTAAAGCAAGAACTGTTTTTTTCCAAAACCACTTCCCCTTAAAAAGAAGAATGCTATAAATTAGGTTATTTCTTTCCCCCTAGGAAACAGCCGTTTTCCTGCTGTATTCTGACACTGTAAGTTGGATCTCACCCCCCCCCACTGACACAGCACTAGTGAGTGACTTTCCTCTCTGCCCCCTAAAATGTGGCTGAGATCATGACAGTGCTTCTGTCTCAGGACATTGTGCCATTTTCAAATGTTGTAAACAACTTCAGTTTACATCCCAGGCTGCTCTCCTGCTCCCTGCTCCACCCCTGGTTACCTCTCTTGAGGCTGAATGAGCAAAACAACTCAAGTCAACACCTGCTCCCTAAGGAAGGGCACACAGTCAGGTGGCAGTGGTGGGAGTGTTGCCTCCCCTGCTGGGAAACAGCAGCAGTCTCTGGAGTCTCCATGAAGGGGCTACAGGGATTTACCTGCTTTCTTAAAAAAAACCAAAAATTATAACCCCACTGATTCTCTGAAATAGAGAAATGTTTCAGCTATTCTTTCATGAAAATAGAGCGCTTTTAGAAAATTTTACTCTGGAATCCAGACGTTCTGCTTTCCTGGGTTTTAATTGGCAATGCTTTTAGGTTTTCCTAGAAGAACCAAGAACAACAGTAAGTCCTGAGCACCCTCTGTGCTTGAAAGCCCCTTCTGCTGGTGCTGGGACCGTGCCTGCTCAGCAGCCAGGATCCAGCCTTGGTCAGACTCTCCCTAGTGAAGTGTAGGATTCCTGCATCCAGGATCCAGCAACACAGAGTAAAAGCTGGAGTTAAAACTCCTTAGTCAGTACTTTTAGTAGTGTACAAGTTGAGTCTCTGCCCTCACTCTTACTCAACATAGCCCTCTTGCTGCTGTATGAATGGCCCACTGACTTCCCTGCTGAGGCAGAGCTCAGCATCCTGCATTCCCAGGGAAGGACTCATCTGTGGGGCCTGTGCCCCTCATCCCTGCTCAGGTGTCCACCACCCCGCTAAGGGGCTGGCTGGTGCTGTGTGTGCTCTGGGATCCTCTCGAGGGTGCAGTCACTGACACCCCCTGCCTGGAGCCTCTTACCTCAATGGCATCAGCTGCTGCAAATTTGGATGAAAACAGCACATTCTGGGAGGCACCATCTCTGCTGGACACGCCCCCCGAGGGAGTGGGATCAGCTGCTTCTGTCCCGGCCTCGGGTAAAATGAGGACAGCAGAAGAAGGTTTAATGTCTGGGATCATGTCAGCAAACCAGTCCAGCTCAGGGTCTGGCACGGGTTTCTTCTTCACTTTTATTGTGAACTCTTCTCCCAGGCCATTCTCTGATGAAGACTTCAACCTCTCCTGAAAGGTTGGTTTTGGCAGCACAGTTTGTTCCAGTTGGTCCTGGTGGTCCCACTTGTCATTGCTCCAGCTGTTTCCAGGGCAGGACTTTGTGGGGGGACTCAGTCCGAGGCTTTTGAATTCCTTGCTCAGTCGATGGGTACCTGGCAGAGGCCTTCCAGCTGCATCAGCTTGTGTCACAGTGAGGCAGTTCCCTGAGGGCAGTTTAGGACTGGGGCTCCTGGGCTCAAAGTCATCCCAGGGCTTCTCATCTACATCATGATCAGCAAAATAAGGTTCCACACTGCCCTGCAGCTCTCGGGGCTGAATTTGAATGTTCACAGTTTTCTCAGTGTCTGTCTCCTCTGGCTCACTCCAGTCTGGCCACTCCTCTGCTGGCTTTTCAGAGGTAGTCAGAGAGCTCCTGCTATTCAGTGTAGCCATGCTTCCAGGGATTCCATTCAGGGAGGGCTGAGGGCCTTGCTCACCTGTGGAAGACAAAGATGTTACATCCTCACTTCAAGAGAGCAAGTGCAGAAACAGAGTTGTCCCTAAAGCTCCTTGACGCCACAGGCAGCACCTGGCATGGGAACCAGCCAGTAACTGGTTGGGAAGAAAGCCTGGACACCTTCCTGCTTGTAAAGGAGGGAATTCACCTCCAGGCCCTGGGGCAATACACTGACAGCTGATGAGCAACAGGTGACTGAGGCAAGGCCATGGAAGGAAACAGAGTTGGCTTTGACTGTCAGAACGAGCTGACCTGTAAATCCAGGGTATCTGCCGAGCTGTGAGAGGGGTGAAAGCACATCACAGAGCCTGCCACAAGGAAACACAAGGCCACACAGCCAGTCTGTGCATCTCTGCTTCCCAGACAGCTATTCCCTAGGATATCAAGGGTCACACTCGCCTTCCATCACTGTTGCCTTCTGTGGTTCATTGAAACTTTCAGATCAGTACATGGGGAAAACTAACATTTTTCAAGCAACACTTCATTTGTGAAACACTTGATTTCCAAGAAGGAAGCACTGGGAGTGCGTTTTACCTGTCTTTAAAGCCAGGGGATTGTCTTGTCGCCCAGAAAGCTTCTTGGCAGGTACATTTCCAGAGATGGGGAACGAGCTGGAACTGCTCTTCAAGGGCCGGGAGGTTTGATTTCTCTGATTGCTCACAATGTGACGGGGGGAACCTGCCAGGAGAAAAGAAAAGAAAGGACACAAATCCACAAGATGTGTTGTCAGTCACAGCTGAAACTGCTCCCAGCATTGGAATGTTCTTATTTACACTGAAGCCTGGCACAGCAATCCGACAGCTGCACCTCCTGATCCATGGATAACACAATACTCCTCTGTTCCTGCTGCCTGCCACTCTTGCCAGTACAAAGTTATGGCAACTGTACATGGCCAGTTTTTGCTGAGATGTTCTTTCAAGAAATACACAATGAACAAAGTGATTATGATCAGAGCAGATGCTTCAGAAATGCTGTCTGCCACCTGGCTGGATCCAAAATTCCAACTGCTGCACTGCATGGCATCGCAAATCCCCTGGTACCTGCCTCTTAACAAAAGCACTGCACTCAGTCCCGACAACTCCAAGCATAACCAAACTCCTGAGTCTACACAAAGCCTCTTCCCTGCCTGGGCACAGGCACAGCAGCTCCCAGGAACGAGAATCTCTACCCTGAAGGCTCCTTCCTGTCACACCTGAGGTGAGGTGGGGGTGGGCAGTCAAGGCCACGCTTTGGAGCTGCCCAAGGCATGTGTTTCAGTGACAGCTTGGCAAGCATCCAGCTGCAGTTTGTCCTGGGGAGCTGCAGGGTCTGGTGGTGTCACCTCAGCCGTGTGGGGCCCTGCTGCCTCCACCTCAGAGTGGCACAGCTCGGGCCAGCCCTCACCTATCCCACGGGGCTCACCTGTGTTCCCAGCCAGCTGAGCCTGCCTAGGCTGGGGATAACCAGTGCCACCAGGGACACGTGGCAATGGCACTAGAAAGGACTGCAAAGGAACAAACAGAACAACTCCCCCTCCCCACAGCGCCCTTGATAAAGGGCACATCCTTTGAGGGGCTTAAGCACACAGCTTGTTGAGCCTCGTGTGTTCAGCTTCTAGTGCTGCTTTTTGCAGGTCATCACTCACTGCTGAGGACAAAGGTGGGTTTTTTGTTGTTTATCAATAGTTAAAACAGGTCTAATTTTAAATATATCCTGAAAAATAAACCTGGTTTCCACATGCAATCCAAAGGGGTTTATTTACTACCATTGTCTACTAAAATGATGTAAAGAAACTAATGCAATGAGCCATCCACAGACTTTAATAAAGGGTGGTAGCTGTCAGTACATACACAAACAGGAAACAAACATTTATACTTAAACTGGTCTCTGTCATGCATTTCATTTGGTATCTGTATGTCTAAAGTAGCACAAGTGCTGATTCTTCCCTCCAGTTACAAACATCTTTAGTGTTTCAATATCCAGAAAAGCTTTCCCTTAGTACACTTGTTCCAAGTTATCTAGCAGGTGCAGGGGCTACTGTCTTCACTTGGATTAGCTGAAAAGCCTCCAGAGAGCTGATAAAATAGGGAAGTTGGTATTCCTTTTCCAATCTATGAATAGAAATTGGGGGAAGAAGGTGAGATTTACTATTTTTAAAAACAGGAAAGACAAAGGGAATATTAAAACAACTGTCTGTATAAGTCCTTTAGAAGGGCTCTGTAGTTTTTCCACCAAAGACACACACTCAAACACTGTAGCTCCTTTACTCACAGGGATTCTTAAATGAAGAAGAGATTTTAATTTTCCCCCATATATTTTCTATATTTGAAATACTTTTATGTAACCCTTCTTCTGATATCAATTCTGTATCTACAAATAGCACCTAACTTAAAACTGAATTTTGGCTGCAAATTAGCTTTTTTTTTTTTGCAATTAACCTGTCACCAGCAATGGATTCATCATCCAAGAAATTCTGCCTACGCTGCTTGGACAGAACGGGCAAGAATCCCAAGGGCACTCTGACCGTGTCTTTTACCTTCTGGGGAGAGATCAGCAGTTTTCATGAAACTTGGTGCAGAGCTTTTGAAAATCTTGGTTCTTTCTCCACCTACAACCACTTCAGGCCCGAGCAGGGACACGAGCACTGCCAGGCTGTGCAGCGTTATGGCCACGATGGAGTCGCTGGTGTCTCGAAGGCCCAGCAACACCTGCACCAACAACACAGTGATGTCACCAACTACAGAAATCCTGCTTTTCCACCGCCTTCCCCTTTAAATGTTACACATTAAACGTAGCATATTTAATTCCTGATATCCCCCCCACAGCTGTCAGGAGATGGATGTTATACATATAGCATAAGATCAGCCTTCTACTTCATGCTGAAGAGGGTGGCTGATCAGAGGATGGGGCTGGACCAGATGATTTGTGATGTCCCTTCCAGCCCAAACCACTCTGTGATTCTATGAAATCCACACTCCAGGATATACCACCTATTGGTTTGCCGTGCTTAACCTGTGGCAATATGATGTTTTTCAACTCCTCCCGGGAGAAGAGCTCGGCGTAGGCGTGGATGTGGGACAGCAGCACCATCCGGACGTGCTCCTCGTGAACCTCAAACAGCTTCAGCAGCACAGGGATGACGTGGGCCTGGAACAAGGCTGGGGACAGCAGGCAGCTGGTCTGGCTCTCCCCAGTTTGCTCTAGGGAGGAAAGGTGGAGATGTGAAGAAGCTGCTTCAACAAGGAGAGACAGCTCACCCAAAAGCTCCTGACTGAGAAAACATCACAGGTGAGGGTGACAGTGTCACCTCACTGCCAGGTCTGAGGCTGTGTCAGCTGCCAACACAGCTTGCCTGGGATGTCAGAGATGGGAGGGAGGGGAGGCAACAGTGCCACTGTTCATTGCTCCATGGCCCTGGCTCTGAACATGGAAGGTCAAACACTCTTGAGAGAGGCTTCGCTTGGCTGAAACACCGGTAACTATTTTAAGACTTTAAATAACTTTTAAGCAACTTTAGAGAGGGCAGGCAAAGAGTAAGGACAGAGAGAGCTGGGGACAAGACACAATGAACACCTCTCACAGGGCAAAGGAGAGGACACTGAGTGCCCTTAGAGGTGAATGAGTGCAGGGAGAGAAGGAAAAAGGGCAGGCAGGGGAAAAGTGAGAAGAGGGATATGCAGTGAGACCCTGGGGTGGCAGGGTGGGGTGACACATAAGCCTGGGAGAGAGTCCAGGTCTTTCCTAACTCTCCTCCCATCATCAGCAGAGCAGTGGGAAGTACTGCAAAGGAGGAAGCACAAATAACTGTCCTTTCCAGTTCTGTATGTTACAGTATTTGGTCTGGGTAAAGAAACACCACTGTTCCCTTGATTCAATGAAACAACCACTCTGAATCCATTCCAAACTTGTCAGTAATGATTGTGACAACAAAGTAGTTAAAGGTCACCTTTCTTTGGGCCCAGCAGATGAGGAAGAAAACTCTTGACAGCTACAGGTTCTGCAAACACGAGCTGATTGAGTAGAAGAGGCACCAGCCGTGATGCTATCAGCTCCTCTGACAAGCCAGCCACCCGGTCCAGCAGGAATCTGCATTCCATGAGACAGCAATTAGTATCAAGGCAGCTTTCCATGCATTTATGCCTGATTCCTTTAATATCACTTTGCCCTTTTTGTGTCCCAGGGCAGCCTCTCCCTGGCCTGTGCTCTGACCTACACGGACAAGGCTCTGCTCCTGCCTGGGGCTTCAGGCAAAGATAACACAGACCAGGAGCTGGAGCCACATCCTGTCAAACCCCACACCCGGATCACAGCCTGGCACAGGCACATCCAACTGGCACAGGAAGCTGCTGGGGCATCAAACTGCCTCAGAGCTGGCATCTCCCATGAGGAGCTACAGTCAAAACTGCAGCAGGGAGCTTTCCTCTCACCCCACAGCCTGGTGCATCACAAGAATTGTCCTACTGCTTTGGGAAAGGCTGTTCCATCCCCCACCCAAGGGAAGCTGCCCCTGCACAAAGGAATCCCATTTTGAAAACACTTCCATCTGATGCGTTTTAGAGGTGGCCAGAAGAGCGTGGAATGGGTTTATTTATTTGTGCCAGGCAGGGCTGGCACCACAGCATTAATTCATCCAACAAGTCTTGCTGCAATCGCTCTCCCTGGCAGACATTGCCCAGCAGGGACTCCTCCCAAACACCAAACCATGCACAAAGAACTGGGAAAGGAAGAGCTGAAGAGCTTCCTCTTTGGTGCAATTGTTACTTTGCCTGGAGGACCCAAAATGTTACAGAGCAAACAACCTTCTGCCAAAGCAACCAGAATCTGCCAGCTGAGGAAGTACCTCTGGGAACAAGCCCCCCCAGGTCCCCCCCAGTCCATTTGGCAAAAGTGTGTCTGAAATAAGAAGCTTCCAGATTACAGTTCGTTCACTTACTTGAAAAATTCGGTTTTTTCCTCCTCAGACTTCAGTGTTAAGGTCTTCAGAAAATTCACAACTTCCAGAAAATCATTCCTAAACACAAAGACATGTCAAGTGACGCTTAAGCCATCCACAATGAAGTGACTGCAAACCCCCACCATTCATTCAGCAGAGGGAACTACACAGAGGGATGCAAGTCTTGATCTGCTGGATTAAGAATGCCAGCATGGAGGTGAGACCTGAAAGCTGCTGCCCAGCACCTCACTGGAGAGGCTGGTAACAATTTCTTAATTTAAAGGAATCTCTTTGTCAAAGATCCCTGTACGAGACAGGGATTAAATCTGCACTTCCATTCCACACCTTCACCCCAGCTAACACTCTGCAAGACAGAAACAGGCAGTGGCAAGACCAAGACAGGCCTCCTGTTCCTGTCCTTACCTGAAGAACTCGTGAGACAATAAGCTGGACAGGGGTGGACGACACTTTGGGTCTGGGTTGAGCAGTGTGCAGTGCAAGGTTTGCTGGAAGCTGGAGAGGATATCTGCTGAAACTGAAATCCAGAGCACCTACAGTTAGATTTCTCTCTCAACACTGAACTAGATACATTAAGGAGTCCCCCCACCTTCCCCAAAACTTATTTTTCACTCTAATTTATAGCAAAATTGCAAAACAGCACTTGCATTTCTCTTCCTAAGCTGCCTGGCCATTGGGGCTCCAAGGGGTGCTACTGTCCTCCCAAGAAGCTCCCTCTCTGCTGGAAGGTGGCAGCCCCTGCTCAGCTGTGGCACACGAGACCCACGTGCCACATCCACAGCCCCTGGAAAGGCGGCTGGTGGGGCAGAACTGGAGGTTTGGGAATGCTTGTGGCACATGGGCTGATGACCTCCAGCCACCCCTGACCACGTCCAAACGCAGGAAGAGGGGAATGCAGGAGGAGCCAAGGCCTGCATTTAGCCCAGCAAACACAAAGAACAACACTGGCCACCAAAGCCACGGCACTCCTGCAGCTGCCACAGAAGGGGAGTGGCTCAGCACACACAAGGAATGAGCCACAGGGGCCTGGCCACAGCAAAATGGACAGGTGTCATTCCTCACCCTGGTCATTGAGGACTGTCAGGAGATTTTCAACTGTTGTTCCAAAGGCATAGGCATCCCTCGCGTGCCCGTAGCTGCTGGGCAGGATCTTGAAATCTGCAGACTGAAAATAAAACAAACAAACAAAAAAAAAAAATCAGCAAAGCAGGAACTTAGGAAGTACTTGGTAATTTCCAAGAGTCTCTATTCCCACCCCCTGCCATATAAAGTCTCCAGTTCTTTTTATAGCACCAAAGCATACCCTGTAAGTAGAATATTATGCTAAAAAAACCTCCACTGGTGAATTTATAACCCAAAGGAGCAACTACATCACAATGGAACAACTCCCCAGTGGATGCTGGCAGGCAACAGCTTTCAGCATTTCTATGGAAACAGGTGATAATTAGAGAGTGAAAGAGTGCTCCTTCAGCATAAGCAACTCCAAGGATTCTCACTGGGTAGGAAGTGACTAATGGGTGGAAAAAAGGCTGTTACAAGAGCTCCACAGCCGTGGGACCACAGTGATCTGGGCAATCTCAGCAACTACTCTGTCATTTTTGCAAGGCTTTGGTGACTTAGAAGCATTTAAAGCTGCAAAACAAAGTGTTGGGAAAATATCACTGCCTGTGCCCAACACCATTCCCAAACCAGGGATGGGACAGAAGAGGGGAAAAAGGAAACCTCGGATATTATCCAAGAGCCACTTCCACGCCATTCAGGCATAAGAAACTAAAACACAGGAATGAAAATATGTATCCTGAACATCACACTTTGATTTGTTGCCAGCAGGACCTTCCTGGAGCAGGTGCTGTTACTCTGTTACTCACCATCTCCTCGCCAGGGATGCACGACTGGTCTCGCACGGACCTGACCTGACAGAGGAACTGGAAGGAGAAGAAAAGGGACATGAGCTGCCTCCCCCACTCACCTGTGCCAAGCAGCAGAGCAGGCTGTCCCCACGGGCCAGGGCTCAGGGGTGGAAGGAGCTCTGCCCCTGCCCCTTCTGCTGGCACCCAGGGCAGGCTGTGCTGGGCTCTGCCCCAGGGGAGACCCCAGTGCAGCAGGTGGGAAGCACCAAGTGACAGGAAGCAGCTTCAGGGCCTCACAGACAGCTCATCGGGAAGGGTTTGCAGATCCTCTGGGAGAAAAGGCAGTGTGCATCTGTGACACAGTGCCAGGCTGCAGCAGGGACTCTGCACAGCAGGAATAAACCAGGAATTGTTCTGCTAGCATGCAGATAGGATGCCAGCAGCAAAAGCTGAGGAGGCATTTAAATTATTTTCCTTATTGATTAATTTCAACCTGGATCTTCCAGCTTCACACTAAAGTTTTGTTTTTTTTTTTTTAATTTGTTTTTAAATAAGTCCAGAGAAGCAGAGACTTCTCACTCTCCAGCTAGCAGTGTCCCTTAGAAAAGCATGTGCTTTTTGGCTAATGGGGAATTAATTTGTGTAGACACTGTAGTTTATAGTTGTGCTGTCCTTAGAGGAAAGATTCGGGGCAGAGCTGGAAGTGAACCAACACACTTAATAGTAAATCCAGCTAAGTGGAAGGACTTGGGCCTTCATGTCCTTAGATGGCCGGTTTCCACAGGCCATGAATCCTCTCCTGGTCATCTGAGGGTGCACTTGGCTTGGCTCTTACCTCTGGGGTGGCTTCACTGAAGTTACAAACTGTTTCCATTCCTCCCAGCTTCCAGTGCCCATCCTCACTCACAAACACGGATGATAAACAGACATTGTTATGTGTCAGGTTTCCCTAGAACAGAGAAAAGAAAAAGAATAGCAGACTCAGGGGATAGATGGAGATGTAAAATCTTAACCAGCACTTAGTAGGTGCTGTGAGGGAAAGCTGCCAAAAAGCACAGTTCCAAAGACCCTCTGGGATTTGGTAGGTGACTAGCAGGTGCCAGGCAGGAGGGCCAGGGTTTTGGAGCAGACAAAGGCCTGATTGTCACAGCCCCTGCAACACAACTGTAAATCCAGGGAAGTTCTCCAACTGTGAACACAAAGCCCCAGAGCTACAGTCTGAGCTGGGATTTAACTGCAGTCCTGGACAAACACACAGTCAGGGGAGCAGTGACACCAATCTCTGACATGGGGTGACAGCTGTAAACAAATGCCAAGGCTGAGCAATCCCATCTCCCTAAAGCAAGAAGCACTGCAAGCAGATTCATGAACTGAGAACTGCTTGCTCCCTTACTTCCAAACCCCACAGCATTTTCAGCTACCCTTCCTCCCACAAAGCAGCCAATCATTTTAGCAGTTTCAGCCTAAAAGAACTGTGGGGCATGTGGCTGCTTTTTGGGAGGAATCAGAAATGACTCACCCAGACAAGCCCAGGTGCTCTCCTGTCCCGTTTCATCTGTCTCCCTCCAAAGCCTGCTGGCTGCTGCCAGGGGTACCTACCCTGTCATGGAGGAAGATGAGTGCCAGCAGCACGTCGTAGATCCCTGCGCAGATCTCGGCAGAGGAAAGTGTCTCCAGGACCAGCTCCAGAGGCTTCACCCGCTCCGTAACCAGGTGGATCCCATTTGCTTCCACAGTGCAAGAGAGGAAGCGCAGAAGGCAAGGATGGCGCAAGGTTTTCAGGTGCTTCCAGAAACAAAGGCATCTGTTAGATCTCACCTGGGGCAGCTCCTCTGTCTGCAGAGCTCAGTCCTGCACTCTTAGCCACGTTTTCTCAGTGAATTCAGACAACACAGCCCTGCTCCTCCCCAGGCACCCAGCACACTCACTCACTGCACACCTTATTATAACACATTGGAATGGAGTCATAGAAAAGCTTGGGTTGGAAGGGACCTTAAAGATCACCTCATTCCACTCCCTGCCATGGGCAGGGACACCTTCCACTATCCCAGGTTGCTCCAAGCCCTGTCCAACCTGGCCTTGGACACTTCCAGGGATGGGGCAGCCACAGCTTCTCTGGGCAACCTGCACCAGGGCCTCACCACCCTCACAGGGAAGAATTTCTTCACAATATCTAATCTAACCCTGCCCTCTATCAGTTTAAAGCCATTCCCTTGTCCTGTCACTACAGGCCCTCGTAAACAGTTTCTCTGCATCTTTCTTGTCAGTTCCCTTCAGTTATATGAAGGAAAAAGTCTTACACAGAATAAAAGAAAGTCTCAGACATAACAGACATAGTATTTTGGGTGGATCTACCCAGGAAAGACCCTCTGACTTACACCTGCAGGAAGAGACCAGCTCTCTGCCAAGGCTCTGCAGCTGCCAACCCCTCCTGCCCCCCTGCACAGCCACGGTCAGCTCCCACCTCTTCTCCTGCCCTCCCTCCCCAAGGTCTGACCCTTGTGCATCAATTCCCACCCTCCCAATAAAAGGCAGGGACAGCTGTGACGAGTCTGTCCCGGGCAGGTGGCAGTACCTTGGCAGCTTTATTAACCTTATCTTCGTTCTCCCGCTTGTACACGAACACGGAGGCACGTCTGCCATCCTGGAGCACGGCCGGGTACACCGTGTGTCCCGTGGGCAGCGTGAACGGCGGCTCCTCCAGACTGTAGCTCTTCAGAGCGCTGTTCTCCGAGCCCATCCCTTGCACAGGGTCCCTCCTGGCCACCAACAGGCCTTTGGGGGAAGGAGGACCTTTGTCAGACAGATTCGGTTCCAGTGGGCGCTGTTCAGTTCACCTTCAGAGCATTTTCTGCAACACATGAAAGAACCATGAAGAGCCTCCTCCTGCCAGTATCCTGTCCTTCAGCTTAAGGACAAGAATAAAATCACCAGTGTTTATTCTGAAAAGGAAACCAAATGTCCACAGAAGGGTTCAGATCAGCAGGTGAGCAGCTCTCGGCTCTGGGGCTTGGACTGTGCTGGCACCTGTGCCAGCATCACCACCAGCTCTGACACTCAGTGCAGCATCCACAACTGATCCCTGACTTGGCTGCCACGCTGAGAACCCACCAACAGCAGGATCCACAACACTCCCAGTCATGGAGACCCACTGCAGGTGCTTAATTCAGATTAAGCACAGTCAGCAGTTAGGAACTGTGACTGCCACCGCCTCGGGGCACAAGGAGCCCCTGGCACTCTTAAAAACACCATTCTTTAATTCTCCAAGCCAGGGGGGGATTCCAGAGAAGGAGGAGGGATTTCAGGAGGTTACCTACAGCCAGGTAACCTCTTCTAGCAGCACACTTTTCTCCCTGATTATCTTCTCTCCATCTGACAAATATTTCATCTGCCTGCCAACCCTTCCTTCCTCCCACAGCCTGTCAGGAAGAGGCTGACACAGATTTTTGTGCTGCTTCCTCACACACAAAACCAGTAAAACAAACACGCTGATTGCAGAGGCTCTTTTGCAAAACACTGACCAAGCACATGCTCTGTCATCAGGCTTGTGATCACGGGCCATGGGCGAGACCCTGGACTGGTGTGCACACAGGAGTCAGCAAACCTGCATCAGGAGTCAGGAGAGAGCAGCACCTGAGCATTCGGGAAAAGTGAGGGGAAAACTGCCCATTCCCAAGCATTTTGTCAGGAGTGGATCTGCACCTTTTCAGCAGCAATTCCTTTAATAGAATTTTTTTGCGAACTCCTTGGCATAAAAATATTCCTGCTGCCCCTGGACAGAAGGGTTTCCTCTCCAGTCAGAACCTGGAAGCTCAGGATCAAACACCAAGCACCTTCACACAGCCAAGTGACAACAGCAGCCTGGTGAACCACAACCCGTGTTTCCTAGCGTTTTTCTGGCTACTGAAACTCCATTAGGCAAAAACATCTGCCAAGATCTATGCCCAGGTGTGGCTAAAACTGAACTCTTGAATGCTGAAGTGAAACATCACTCACACAACCACACTGTGCAAGGACCCACATTTGCTGTGTGAGTTAAGAGCACTGCCCACATGATAACCCTTTCACATCTTATCTTCAATAAATTGTAAACAGGACCATTAGATGTAGCACACAGCGCACCCTGGAACGGAGATGAGCCCAGCAGGGAAAGCTGGGGAGTTAAGGACCATATGGGTTTGCAATAAAGCTTCTTCATGGGGTGATGTGCAGGGTATTCACCTGAAACACACAGGAGCCTTCAGAGGGAGGCAGTTCCTGGTTTTCCACACGCCTTTTCCGCCGCCTCCCAGGCTAGCAGAGCCTCCCGGCAGTGCTCTCGGAGGTGCTGGGGGCTTTGCTCCCAGAGGCAGAGGTTTCCCAACGTGACACCTGGCAGTGCCCACCCGGACCCCGCACACGCAGAGCACCAACACGGGCAGGCGGGCGCTCAGCAGCCCGCGGGGAGGGAGCCCGGCTTTACCGCACCTCCCGAAGGACGGCTGTACCCAGGAACCGGGAAGAGCACGCGTTAGACACCCGGGAACATCGGGTCCCGCCGGTGCGGGAACAGCCAGAGCCGCCACCGCGGGATGTGCTCCCTCCCAGCGCCGCGACCTTCAGCCCCGCCGCCCGCCCTGCCCGCGGCTCGCACAGCGCTCCGGCCGGGCCCGGCCCTGCCCCGCTCCCCCCCCCGCCCCCCGCCCCCGGCCCGTCAGCCCCGCCGCAGCCCAGCCATGCCCCGCCATGCCCGCCGTGCCCGCTCCCCGCACCTGCCGGGCCGGCCCGCGGTGCCGGTACCGCCGGGCCGCGGCCGCTCCGCCCGTCCCTGCCGGCAGCGGCCCCCGCGCGCCCCCTCACGGCCGGAGGGCCAAGCGCCGCCAGCCCGCGCGGGGCGGGGCCCGCGAAGCCGCGGCGGCCATTTGGGGTGAGGGCGGGGCTGCCCCGGGAGACCTTGGAGTCCCGGAGTTACGGAATTATGGAGGTCTCGGGTTGGGACGGGCCTTTCTGATCGCTCAGTCCAGCCGTTCACCCGGCACTGCCACTGTAGCCCCTAAAGCACTGAACCACATCGCCCAGCGCTAGATCCAGACGCCTCTTAAACAGCGCCAGGGATGGTGACTCCACCCCCCCTTGGGCAGCCCATTCCAGTGTCTGGCCACCCGAGCAGGGAAAAAACTTTTTCTAATATCTAATCCGAATCTCAGCTTAATGCCATTTCCTCTTGTCCTCTCACTGCAGGCCCAGTAGAAGAGCCCGGCCCTCCCCTCTCTCCATGTAGAGAGCACTGAGGATCCATAAGACTAACACATCCCCGGCTCCCTCGGATGTTCCTTACCAGACGTGTTTTCTAGAACTTTCAGGAGCCTTATTGCCCTTCGCTGGACACGCTGCAGCACTACAATGTCCTTTTCAAAGGACAGTTTTAAATGTCCCCGTGCCCTGCCCGGCCGTGTCCTGGGCTGATCTCCCACCACAGCTCCACGTGGCTCCCACAGGGCACCCAGAGCCTCCCTCCTTCAGCCCAAGCACCGGGGCCGGCAGGGCGGGAGCGAGGCAGGTGGTCTGTCTGACACAGTCGGCAATGCACCTCCTGCATGAGGAGATCCATTTAATGCCATTAAAACTAATTGCTCTCCGCACTGGAGCGTAAAGTGACTCCGGGGAGAGATTTCACGTGAGTGTTTTGGACAGCGGAGTGAAGGTTGAAAGAAATTACTCCAGAGTGGTGGGAGGTCTGGGCTTTTCACACGCTATTTTCGTATCGCTGGTGTTATTCCAGTTTCCTGCAGCGCCAGGACGCGAGGATGTGGTTTGCTCAGTCAATCTGAACCAGCGGTGACACAGCCCATACCCATGGCCTCGTCTAGACACACAGTTAATGGCCAGGGCAGCGTGTTTAACACAGGTGGTCTGGGCTGAGGGAACACCTTGGCTTTCTTTAGTAACTCAACTCCACGGTTTAACCTGCACTAAGTTCTGTGCTGTCAAATCCAGCGTGAACTTTCTAGGCTGTATTCTTCAGCAGTACATTTTCCCCACTCACCATTTCTGGTGAAGCCTTCCTGTCCACGGACAGCCTGGATGATCCAAGACATGGGGCTGCTGCCCAGTGGCTCCTCTATGCCAGAGTCCCTTCAGCAACAACAAAGCCACAGCACCTGGACAGGAAAAGGGATTCCCTCAGATCCCCACCCAAACTCCACTCAGTAGGGCCTCACCATCTGTCCAGACGAGCGAGGAGGATGGATTTCTCCTATGCCTGTGCATGGGGAGGGCTATAAGCTGGCATGTCAAGGTTAACATGGGGACACAGTGCTAGGACGAGTCCACTTCTCTGGCACAGGCATATGCTGGCAGATGGATGATCTGGGTCTTTAAATAAAGCAGGAAGATGATGGGTGGAGGAGGGTGCAGGAAAGTAAAATGGGTCATACACAGTATGACGTACAATACATCACATGTTAAGGGGTAATATAATGTATACAGGAACAGAAACTAAGTAAAATTCAGGTACATCACCTCCCTCTTTACAGGCAGGGAAGATCCAGTCTTTGGCTCAAATGGGACAGTCATGCCAAAAGACCCTGGACCCAAAGTGAAAAATAAGGGGAAACTCTGGACATTCCTCACCACAGTTTATTCAAGGCCTAAGTGAGGATTTGTATGTCCTCTGTGTGTGTGTTTGTGGCAGGGCAAAGGCAGAAGGTCAGAAGATCTGAACAACTTAAAGATAAAAAATTAATAACAACATCTGACTTCTACTCCCAGCACTTGGCTCCACACCCAGGCTGTGGTGTGATTCATGTGGCTGTCGGGAAGAAAAGGCAAACTTTTACATCATTTATGGTGTATTTCCTTTGCTGGACAGCCTCTGTGGAGAAGCAGTCCTTGCCTTTACCTGCTTTTCCCGTGCGAGTCGATTGTTCCACACAGACTGAAGGCACCAAGGTGTGTGTCCTATTTAGGACCCTGCTACACCAGGTACTGCACAAACACCCAGCTGGGCTTTGTCCACCAACTGCCTTTGCCTTTCCTAAAGCCAGCCAATGCTGGGCTCCTCCAGAGAACCACCCAGGAGCCTCAGACCTCCCTAAAGAGAAAACCTCCAAACCTTAACCTTGAGGAAAAACTGAGCACATCACAACTTCAGGGGCTGACAGCTGCCCCATGAGCTGCACCAGTAAGTCAGCTTCAGTTTTCCATGTTTTTTTGAGGATGGTCACAGCAGGGATGGAGGTTGTTGCTGTTCTCAGCCTCCTGGCATGACAACAGGACATCTGAGCTTACCAGGGCCCTTATTACAGGAATTCCACCACAGAACCTGCAAGAGAGGCCTGAAATCTGTTGTATCTAAACAGAGCTGGTCCTGCTTATTCCAGAAGAAGATACATCTTGTTCCTGTTTCATTTAATCCAGAATGGACTAAACTAAACAGAATCACGGCAGTCTGATTTCAGAATGAAATGCACATGTTAAACTGTCAGCAGACGGCTCCACACCCCCCTGGATATTTAAAAGACCTTGAATCAGGTCCTCCATGAGCTCTCAGGGATGAGGATATTTGTTTACTTTTGCTTTCCCCACCCTGTTGCCCTGGTAAGCTCCCAGACACTGGTGTAGTACAACTAATAATTTAGCACACGATGTGAGGCGGCTGCTTTGAGCCCGCTGCTCACGGAAATGAGCCCGTGCATCTGCACAAAGCCTCTGTAATCGTTACCAGACCTTCGAGCTTCTCAGCCCATGCTTGTTTCATTGTGCTATTTAACTTTACAGCCTAATTATATCTAAAACACTTGCCTAACCAAACTCATTAATTAATTAGCAGCAGGCTGGGAAAGAGGATACTCCTGGGATGGTTCGGGATTGCTCCTGTAGAGAAAGAAAAGAGGAGCCTTACAAAGTTAGGGAGAGAAACCAGGAAAAAGAGGAAAGAACAAAAGTTGTAGAAGTTGCTAAAAGAAAGCAGATCCCTCCTCGCCCCATTTTATACAGGATACAGTACCCAGGGACCGAATCCATAAATACATATAATTAAACAGGTCAGACTCTCCAGGCTCCCTCCAACACCCACAGGAAATGTGATATAGATTGAAAAGTCTATGTACTCCTATCTTTTTTTCTCCCTTTCTGGCTCAGGAACTGTAATTAAAGGGAAAAATCAGCCTCTCTCCTGCCTTAAGAGTGCAGTGGCACAGCTGTTTTTCATCTTGGCTAGCAGGCTCTGTCCTCAGGCTACTAAGTGCTGAGTAATTTTTACCAAGCTCTGCTTGCAGATAAATGATGTTCTTCTCTTAGCTGCTGCCAGGCAAAGCTACAAATACTTGATCTTTTATTCTTTTCTCATAAACTCCTAACACTGAATACTAAAAATGCAGCCAGGGATTTTTCCACTGCCATTTATTCTCAGCATGGTCACAACTGTAATACAATTACAGACACCCACCCCTTCGCTGGAGCTCGACTGCAGCTCCTCGTTAACCTGAAGCTTCCAATTAAAGGCTCCTTCAGTTTCATTGATAGTTTGCATATACTCCAAGGACCCACTTCATTTTGTTTTTCCCCCAAAACACATTCCACGAGAAGGGCAACTGCTTTAAATAACTTCACACTGATTTTCTGGAAAAGCCCGAGGAGCGAGCGCCAGGCTCAGAAGAAAAGCCTGAGTCTGAGTGTGCAGTTTGGGGAATTTCTCTCACAGCTATAACCATAAAAGTATCTGAAAGCTTTTGACTAAATGTGGCACAACCACTGGGCAAATCCAGTGTGGCCTCAGAACAAAGGAAAGGATCTAGAAAGGTACAGCACTGGAAACCCATTAGTTTAATTCAAGTTTTCTGCCATGTTTCTAGTGAGATCTTAAGTGTTCTAACAAATTGCGTAAAAATTACTTTAAAATGGTAGAGAAAATAATTAAAAAAAAATACTAGTTAATCTTGGCAATGCTCTTCCACCTACCTCCAGTGAGTGAAGCAATGAACACGAAGCCAGCACAGGGAAGAGGCTGAAAACTGGTAAGAAATACCATGGCTAATTTTAGCCTTGTTTCCAGTCATGCAGCATGAAACACAGGGAGTAATGCTGCTTTCAAAAGTATCTGCACACCTTTTAAAGATAAAACAAGGTTTCAAAACACTCTTGATTTCAAAGGTATTTTTGAAGTATATGACTAATAGTCTGTCAGCTTCCTAAACAAGCTCGTGCCTTTGAAGATCACCTTCCCAGCACAGACCCCAGTCTTACGGGATTATGGCAACAGGTTCAGTAGGATCAGCCCCCAAGTGCAAGCCAGCACCGTTTAAGCCACAGATGAGGGAGAAAAGAGCAGAGGAACAATTCTGCAAATCAAAAGCCATTAACAAAAGAAAAAAAGATGAGGTAGAGGTAGCTTTTCTTTTAAAAAGTGAGAATTTGAACTGCCTCAATGGCTGTGGCAGAACAGGGCATTTCCCTCGCTTGTGTCTGTTGGCTGGGGGTTCACAGCTAAAGAGCAGCTTCAGCCTAAACTCCATTTGCACGTTGTGTATTTTAAACCCGGCTTTAAGCAATCCTCATCCGTGAGCCCAACGTGAAGATGTCTTGGCCTGTCTGTGCTGCTCAGTGATCCGTGCTGAAATCCAGTTTAAGCCCCGTGAACAAGCAGGACAGGATGGATTTGTATTTCCGGAGATGGAAGCTGGGGGAAAGGCTCTGCATTCTGAACCAAGGTAGAGTGTTTTTCTCTTGCTGGCCCTCAGGATGTGCCTGTCTTCTCTCAGCCCTCAGAGCTCTGCTTAAACACTATGGTGAAGGTATTCTGTCGTAGTGTAGTTACTAATTTT